TCGCACCAAGCTGAAGCTCGCGAAATCGAAATCCAGCCCATACGAAGGTCCGGCTCCGGCCATCCCAGGCGGGAGACGGACGGCGGGAGTTCGATGTCCCAAACCGAGTCGAAGGGCCGACTTCATATGGCCATGGTTCAAAACCAATGGGATCCCATTTTGGGATAGGTGAATTCACCACCCATTTTGGTCTATTTTAGTGGGGGGTTGGGATGTTCACCAGGGGTACTAGGTACAGGGTTTTGACCCATGGCCAGATGAATCAACCAGCAAAAGTGGTCTGATTCCCCACCACCCCCAGAATCGGACAGGGTTCAACTTTAGGAGGGAAGCCTTTGGCCTGTTCACTAGGTTTTGCCATGGACGGCTCCCCCTGGTTACCAGCTTGTTTGATGTGGGGGGTGCGGGCTTCAACAGTGGGCCGATTCCAACCACATGTCACCCAGCTGGACAGCCTCTACAAATTTAGCTACCCTCTACAAATTTGTTCAATGGGGGTGAACAATATTCGTCGGGGTTTCATTTCCTGCCAGGCAGTTTCTGAGATCCGTTTCGGACCTTTCAAGGTTGGACATGTTAGTGGCAACCAACACTCAGTTGCCCAAAGCGAATCGACCTTTTGACCTTTTGGTTTCCCGTTTTCCAAAAGGTTAACCTTTTATTTCTGGGTCTTTTGATCAAGTGAGAACAAGTTTAAGCTTTCTCTCGCTAATCCACTCAGGAAGTGAGTGGTAAAAAGAAAAGGGTTAATGCAAGGCCCCCCCCTTCAGCCCTCAGCCCTCACCTCCCCGTAAATAACACTGTTGGATTGTTTTCAAGTGTTTAGTATTCGAAGTGACATTTGTTGGAGTTGAAGCCTACGAATACAAAATTGTAACAATATTACTTTCAATATTTTTTGGTTGTCAATGCCAGGAAGTTTGGCAATACAAGTTTAAAGGAGCAATACTACACTTGAAATGGTCGTGTATTGCGGACAAATTCTACCAAGCTTGGTATTGGCATTACTCTTCAAAGGGGCAATTCTACTTTTGAAATGCATTTGTATTGGGACGCATTTCCAGAAACTGACCCAATTAATTATCCTTTTTCAGGGTCAACACTTTGTGGCAAACATATTGCCTGAAAAGGGGCAATACATTTTCCATTTGCTTAAGAATATGTGTTATTTCCCTTGTTGGTTTTAAAAGGAATTCATCACTACTGGAAATAGTTTCTTTTTTTATTCCTGGGGCCGAAAAACCAAATGGAATACAATGATTGAGTTGCATTTATATTTGCATCCATGTCCAGGAAGTGACCCGGATCACTAGCTGAATCCGGGATATGGGTTACTAGGTCCCCCAGCTACGTGCCCTTTCTCACCCTTTTTTGGGGGAGGGTTCCCCTACTAAAATAAACTGACTAAAGGGTACCCTTACTCTGACTTGTTTGCCAATGGCTTTTTGTGGGGGTCACCTTGGCTGATTTTTTTGTTTTTGCCGATCTTTTGAGGCGGTCTAAAATAACATGAAATCGTCATGAAGATGGACACCCACAAATTGCGTAGGTGGACATTTTAGTAAATCCTATGACCGTGATAGCCATGTTGGTAGGTCTACAGTCAATGGGTTTGGGCTTTGCTCACATGGGTTTGTCTTTTTGTTGAGGCTCGGTTCCCTTTTCTGGTGGTTTCAAGAGGATACCAAAAGGACAACCGCCATTTGTGTGGTCCCCCGGTTTTTTGCGCACACCCTCATGCGCCGCACGCCAACCGGGTCGATGGATGGATGGATGGATGGATGGATGGATGGATGGATGGATGGATGGAGGGAGGGAGAGACTGCTCTGAAGAGCGCAAGCCTTAGGAACAGTAAGGTGGATGGGCCACCCAGTTCCTGCCTTGGCTCATGGCTATGATTGAACTGATGGTGACTCACCACTGGGCCCCCACACCGCCCCCATACCCCCCCCCCCCCTTACCCGCCCCATAGGCCCCCCCAGCCATACCGCCCATACCGTACCCCATATCCCCCCCCCATACCCCGCCCAAACCCCCCCCCTCCCAAAACAAACAAATCGACCCAGTTGAAAGCCAAACAAGAACCCCGCCACGCCGGTCGGTCCAAGGCTTGGACCCGGCCACCCTGGCCGCCATCAGCGCGGCCTTGGGCCTGAATCAGCCGGCCGCTCCGGCCAGGGCCCAAGTGCCACCAATGGGGCTTTATGCAGCCGGGTCTGGTGGCAGACAGGACTTCTTGTTGGCCAATCCTCACTGAGGAAGTGAGTTAGTGGGCGGCTTTGGAGGTGCAGGCTGACACTGGATCCCTCTCAACTGGAATACCCCCCCCCCTCGCCCGGCGATTTGATCGGGTTCCCAAACCCGGGGCGTCAAGACGATTCGTGCTGGCGTGCTTTTGGGAAACCGCGCTTGTTTAATCATTTCCCTCCAAAAAAGATACCCTCCCACCAAACATGGAACCTGACTTTCTTGGGGGTGGTGGAACACAATGGTCCTTTTTAGCGGACTCCCGAACGTGGGATTGGACATCCAGACTTGGTCAACAAATAGGGCTGCTCCCATGGCGAATTGTCCTTCGGGTTCACTTTCCAACCAACCACGAAGGGTATGACATGTAGCCCACTCACTTGGCGGGCTGGCGCTCGCAAGTCACTGGCATTCGGGCCATTGTGCAGAGCTGCAAAGGACCAGTTGTTTCTGTTTGGCTTTTTTGGACGAACAAAAGCGATTGGGAAGACTCAGCTGGTCGACAGTAATTGGTAAGTATGAAACAGGATCAGACAATAGACACTGTCAGAAAGCAAGGTACTCTACCCCTGCTCTACCCCCTGTTTTGCCAGATTTTGCGAACCAAGAAGAAAGTCAACCAGACACAGGATCAGGCAATATCTGATTGTCTAGTTGGTGGGATTGGATTGGTTTGGGATTGGATTGGTTTGCCCCAGGTTCTTGTTGCAAATGGGGGGTTTTCCGGACGATGAAACCACAACCACTTGGTGGGCAGCTGACAGGAATCCTCCATTTGCTTAAGATTTTGTTTTTTGTTGTTATTTTCTCTTGTTGGTCTTAAAAGGAATCGATTTCACTACTGGAAAATGTTTCTTCCTTTTTTCCTGGGGTCGAAAAACCAAATGGCAGGAATCAGTCTTCCCCCCGCACACTGTTCGCCCTTTTGCCCTTCTTGCGCCGAGGCCGGCGCCCAGACCGGTCTGGGCGTGGATCTGGGCCTGACAGGCCTCTCACAAGCACCGGCTGGCAGGTCTTCGAGTTGGTTCCATACTGCGGATGGACGCGAAATCCTACACCGCCGATCAGAAACCCTAGAAGGATGCGATTCCCCTGCAAATACCAACAAGCCATGGGCTTCAACCATGGTTTCATTTCGTGGTGCGAAACGGATTTCGTCCATCCACAGTAGGTGTCCTTTCTGGTGAGGCTTTGGTCGAAAAAAACAGATGGGTTTCGATTCCTGGCTTGCCGGGTGTTTTTTTTCTCATCTACCAGGGGAACCCATCTATTTCCAACCTAAAATTGGACGCCTATGCTTGGTTCTGGTGTCATGTTTCGCGAGCGTACCCGCCCACCAGGATTTAGTCCATCCGCAGTATGTGGGTGTGTCTTTTTGTTGAGGTTGGACTTGTTGGTTGGGGGATCATCGCCCTGTAAGTACTTTGTAGGAAGGAGGGGTGTGGGGTGGGCATAGCAAGCTCTAGATCGATCGATTTGCACCGATCGGCAGGCCTGCTGCCAGGCTTAGGCATGGCAGCGGCCCCGCCGCAGCCTCGGCTCGCGCCCCGCAAAAAAAGAAGAGGCCTCGGGCCGAAGGGAGTTGGATCAAATCGAGCCATGTTCATGGTTGCCGTTGGGAAACAGTTTTTACATGTTTGCTTATTGTGGCTTAGTGGTTGAAATCCAACCACTTAACTGCTAAAATTTGAGATTTTTTGCTCCCCTTCCAACGTCAACCCAGCGTTGCTAGAACCACGAAGTTCCTATGGTTGGCAACAGCCTCTGAACAGGGGCTCCCAAGGCCAATAGGGGCTAGTGGCGACAAGTGATACCGATTCGGGGCGAGGAGGGTCTGGGTGAATTATAACGACCTCACACGACCGAATTCACCCCAAATGGTGGTTTATTTGGGGAGTGGCCCCCCAACCACCTTATTTCAGGCTGGTGAAATATTGTAATTCACCCAGTTCTCTAGGGGTTGATTCCTTTTCCATTCTTTTCAACCATCGGATTCTTTTCAAAAACCGGATCTGTTTCTCCAGGGTGTTGGGTGGTTTTTGAGAAGGAAGGATGCCTGGAAAGAATGGGGCTGGTAGACCTTCTGTGAAGTACGGGCTACCTGAACAATTGAGTGGTCGACCATTGTTGGTGTCTCAAAATAGGCAGAGTCCCTCCCAAAAAGCGATACCTGGATATTTTTAAATGTTGGTCTCAAAAAAAAGAGCCATCCTGAAAATGGCACCATCAAGCAGCAACTGTGTGGTGTAATTGTTCCCTTTGTGGCCAGGCTAGAGGTTGAGCAGACCTGGGGCGTTTCAACCAAACGTGAATCAGGGCTCCAGATGGCCCCCTTTTGGGTGGTTTAGACATTCCCTATTCAGCCGATTTAACGTGCCCTTTTGGAGGGGTGATGTTTTTTAGGTTGGAAATATAGGGAGCAATGGGAACCATTTCTCACCTGGGTCACAGGATTGAATCAGCGGTTTAGCCAACAAGGGGTTTAGACTTGGATGCGCAGGAAGATCCAGGACAGAACAACGGGGTATGCCATCTCGCCAGCCATTTGTGTGGAACAGTGCCAGATCTCTCTACATAGCCTCTGTATAAGGCATAGAACACAACAACAAACCACCAACTGTTGGGAAGCACAGGCCAACAAGCCACCAACGCTCCACCCCTTGTGGCCGCCGTGCCCTCGCGCGTGGGGTTTGAAACGACGGCGGCGCCGTAACTGCAGAGATCTTGTTCGGTCCCATCGCTCGCCAAAGCCATGGCGGACGCGAAGGAGACGTCCGAAAAGTACTCGGACACCATGCCGCTCGGGGCAGCAAATCCATAGGTGTCCTTCTCGGCTTAGTTTAGTTAGAAATAGATAGCACTTGATTTGTGATTCGTTTATTCCATGTTCCAGTGCCATCTATTTTTTGCAGAAGGTTACCTATGACAAGCGCCCTTGGACTGTTTGATCAACTCACTGCCTGAGCTTTCTTTTGGTTGCTTGATGAAGAGGACGTTTGGAATTAAACAAATCACCTAGGGTGGTGTTGGTACTCGTAGGTCGCTTGGTAGGTTGCGTGTTTTTGCATCTTTGGTTCTTGCGTTCAGTTGGGGGGCAAGGAACAAAGCTTGTTTGCCGAGGCAACCCCCGCATCCTGCCACCTTCAGTCATTTCCCAGGGATGCTATTCAAGGGAATCCGATGTTTTGAATGGACAGAGGAAAAAGGGTGCTGCAAGGAAGAAGCAGATGGGCAGCAGCCTGATCTACAAGCACGAGGATGGGCGGAACCGTGGGCAACCTATACGGCCAAAACATAACAGCACGATCCAGGACCCCCCAACAGCTGGCAAATGGTTTGTGGAATGACCTCCCAATTGCTGTTTTGGGGTTATTTGCCAGCCATTGGGGGGGTCCTGGATTGTTGGCATAGACCCCTTGATGTTCAAGGGTCAACGTTTGATGTAAACGGGCCAACGTGTTGGATTGATGGGTCAACGGAAAGCCCTGTTTTTTTGCTAACACTCGAGGTTCAAGGACCAGTTCTCCAAGGCAACTCCTGGTACTCCCCGCAAAGCGGAAAACAAGGCGGAACCCAAGGTGGCTGGGGGCTACTTTCATGTTGCCTAACGGGATTCCTGTCTCACAAAATTTTCTCATCATTTTGAACACTGCTTGGGGTCGCTTTGCCGGGATGACTTAGACCTCTCCCCCCAAAGAATAAGTGATTTTCCCCTGAGGCAAGATGCACCGGCATAGACCCCAGATAGCGCAAAACAGGCGGATGATTGCACACCAGCACCTCAAACAGCACCCCCCGAAGAGCGCAAACAGCACCCACCAGAGCACACGGCCGTCAGGCTTGCCAATATTGCGCCCACACTCCAACAGCACCCCAAACTGCATGCCCCCAAGCACCCTGCCATCAATCTTGCAACAACGCCGCGCCCCAAAACAGCACCTGCACCAGCACGCCAAACTGCATGCCCTATATCACCCTACGGTCAATCTTGCAAAACTGCGCCCGCACCATCACCTGCACCACAAACAGCTCCCCAAACAGCACACCCCAACAGCATCTGCACTGGCACCCCAACTGCGAGCACCCAGCCGTCAATCTCTGAAATCACTTTCCCCTTGTGAATATACATTAGAACCCCTATCACACTAGCATCCCAACTGCGCGCCCCCCACCCAGCTGTCAATCTCTCAAATCACTTTCCCCTCTCTAAACAAAAATGCAGCATTCAGCTATCTGGGGAACAGGGGTTGGAGGAGCTCCATGGTCTCTGTTTTAGGGCGAGCCCGGCTCCAATCGGATCGGGCGCAAAGCGCCGGTCGCCTCCGGTCCACGCCGAGACCTCCAGGCGGGCATGAACTACGCCAAGTGCTTCGAGCGGATCATCGTGGGCTCCTGCTTGCAGGGGCCTGCCGACGTGGACACGTGCCCGGGCGAGAGGGTGGGAAGGTGGGAAGATGTGGGAAGTCTGGGAGGGAGATTCAGAGGAAGAAGCATCTGGCGATTTGACATCGATTCAACATACGCGGGGTTGTGTTTGTTGAGGCTCGGTATATTTGCCATTTCTGGAAGCGGCAAGCGGGAATGACTCCGTTTCTATTCCCAACAGCGGTTCGCGGGATGCCGACTCTGACAAGTACGAGAGGCCAAAATACGCCGTTTCGCCGCGGTTTAAGCTCAGAGGCAAACCTGAGCCCAAGACTCCGCGCGTTCTTCAGGCGCGTTCTTTTCCGTTTGCGCGTTGAACGTGTGAAGGGGTCAGGGGCTTCCATGGCGGTTCCTTGCTATTTGGTGCGAGGGTAACGGACACTTGTGGATTCGGGATTTCATCAACCACTCCCTTGAAGGATACATTTGGGACACGTAAAGCGTTACTTTAGCTGGCTGATTTGGAGGGTGTCTCCGTCTGCCAGAGCCCTGTTGACTGCTGGTGTTCACCCAAGTTTTCGAGCCGCAGTCGAGCCGCATCAAGGCTTCAGAAGGAGGGCGTCGGCATTGTCTTCTGCCTTCAGGAAGACAAGGCGAGCAGCGGCGAGCACTGGCGCCGGCATTTTTTGGATTGCCCCACTTGACGGTCAAACCAATTTCCAGCAACTGCCTTCCACATGAAATGAGAACCGGTAGAAGTTCCCGTGAAGAGAAGCACGGTCCGCGTGCCTTCCCTCAGTTTTGTTGCTAAGCGCTAGCGGCTGGCTGGTAGGAATGAGCGAAACAACTCGCGTCTCACTTGCACAAAGCCGAGCTTTTGACCTTTGGCTTTCTTGGTTTTGGTGCATTTTTAGTCGGTGTTTCTAGAAACGGGAGTTCACCCAAGGCTATGTTCGGGGTTTTTAGGTGTCCTTCATCCGCGTTCAAAAGACACTCGTTGCGACTGCTTGGACGCGAGGACATGGCCCACTTCAAGATCGAGTTGGCGCCCATCGTGGCGCGAGCCAATGAGCTGAAGATCAAGCATGTGCAGCCGCTTGGCAAACCTCATTCCAGAGGTCCAGCGATTGGTGCCCGACCTCTCACCCCTTGGGGGGAGAGGGCTCCCCTACGAAAATAGACAAAGCCCAAAAAAAGTTGGTAGCCTTATTCTAACCTCTCTACTGGAGGACCTAGTTGTAGTGGTCTTTGAGCACCAAATAAACAATGGTTGATTTGGGGGAGCGGGAGAAGCCGACCCACGGAGATCTCCATTTATGATGCAATTTTCCCTTGCGGAAGAACTAGAGAATGAATTTGGGGGACCCCACCCCTTTTTGGTACAAAATTCATTGCCAGAGCTGTTACCTTTATCATTTTTTTGTCTTTTTGGGTTTCCATAATTTCTACCTTCCCAGCAAACTAAAAAGACTTTTCGCAAGGGCCGAAGTCTGGTCAACGGTTGGCGTTATTTCCCTCCCATCACCTGTTGTCGGCTCTTGGAACAAGGGTATGAAGCCGGTTAAAACACATCCGGGGGCCTGGGCGCCGGGTACCAAACAAATCCCTAAAAGGCACAAGTTGTGGCCATACCAAATCAACAACACCCAAATGGCAACTGATTTGGAGATCCGGTTCTTTGCAAAGCAAGTGAGTTTTGGGAATGCTTAGGAAATCTCAAGCATGAGCATCCGGAACCCCTTCGACGGCCAGAGGCATCCTATCAAGGACTTCGACCCCTTGTCTCTCCGCAAGCAGCTCTGCAGCATGAGGGGTTGTTGAAGCATATGTTTCAGGGGTCAATTAGAAGGCGTTCCTTTTGGTGCAACAAACCCCTGGGTTTAAGTCAACGTAAGGGTCAAACTCAAACCACCGGGGATGGCAGGTTTTAGGTGCATGTGTCCACTTTCAAGGGCAACAATATGGGGTACCTATTTTTGGCCCACGGCCACATTGAACCCCACTTAGGCTTGCAGGGGTATCCAGAGGGTTGTGAGCAACCGCTGTAGCTTTGGCGAATAAAACATGCCAATTGAGCAATGTTTGCTTGCCCAAAGAGAATCGATTTTTGATCTTTTGGTTTTCCCTTTGTGTCAACCATGTTTAGTCATGGCCGCAAAAGGTTAACCTTTTACTTGTGGGTCAAGTGAGGGCAACTAAGAAATCCTACTGGCTGCTAAAGAGCGCACAAGAGTTAAGGCCTCAGAAGGGCGATGTTCGTATTTTATCATTTGTTCCGGCCCCTCATGTAGCTTCCAGCATAGTCTTCCATGTTGATCTTCAAGTGACAGGGGCCACTGGACTCATTTACATAGTTCCAACAAACTATGGGCTGGTCTTTCTCATGGTGGACGCGACAAAATGGGCTTCGGTTCCCGTTTGGCCTCTCTTCTGAACAAGCATACGCAGAGATGCGGCTGTGTTTTTGTTCATTGGCGCATGGAGCTACTCTTTGGCGTGAAGATGTATGGATGTATCTATGGATGTATCAAAAACAGATATGTACCCCTTCTTGGGCTCAGAGGATTTGTTTGGCTTTTCCGAGTTTGAGACAAACCGTACTGAGCCTTCAAGAAGAAGTACTCGCTGGTCTTGGGGGTCTTGGGCTGTTGCTTCTCGGTGTATCCCCACCAGAGCACCTGCAGACGCCAAACATTGCGCAGAACAAAGTCGTGGTTGGAGGACATGAACCCGCACCGAGTTCTGCTGTCCATTTCGGGTCCACCGTTAAAAGAATCACAGGGCGAATTCCTCACACCTCAGTCGGCACATGGGCCATTGCTTGCAAGCTTCTCAGAAGCTTCCTAACAGGGGGCTCTAGGGGGCTACCCATTGAAGCTCTGGCAGAAATTGGGAGCGGCTGGCGATTCCTGGGCAAGCCACTAAGCAAACAGTTCTGTGGCTGCTGTTGACCCTCTGCAAAAAGTGTTTAACTGTTTGCTTGCAGCTTGTTAGTTTGATTTCCAAAGGCGAGCCGCCATATCATAGATGAACCCATTTCCGTTTTGGACCTGGCTGAATTTCCACCATGAAGCCACAATCAGTGGTTGAATAGCGATGGGCGTTACCTTGTTGTTTTTATGGATCCATGCATTCAGCCTTTGGAATAAAAAGAAAAAAACACTCCGCACCAGCTGGCTGTAAGTGCTGGGATAAGCCATGATACGCCGCCAATCAGCAGTGGTTTGGGTTTTGGTTTTGCTTTTGGTTGGATTTGGTTTGATTTGGTTTGGTTGTTGGTTTCATAGGTCTCCTTTTAGTGGGTTAAATGGAAACCCAATCACTAAACCCACTGAAAAGATCCAAACAAGCGAATTTGGACCAGATGGTAAATGGAAACCGCCACTAACATAGGTCTCCTTTTAGGTTGGAAATAGATGGGTTTCCCTGGTAGATGAGAAACAAACCACCAGGTAAAAGCCAGGAATCGCCATCTACCAAAACAACCAAAAAGGACACCTATGGTTGGTTTGGTTTGATTTGGTTTGCTTTGGATTGGTTTGGTTGGGCTATGTTGGTGTGGCTGCTTGTGCCAAATTGCGGATTTGGACCCCAACAATGTGTTCCTGATTCCCCTTCAGCCAATGAGTTTCTACCCTCAAAGCACGCATGACTGATTGTCGAAAAAGGGAAAACGTCAAGACGGTAATTCGATCCTTGAGGCACCTGCCGGATGCGGTGCGGCGCCTCGCCGCGGAGCTCCGGGCGGCGCCGGAGGCGCGAGCCCCGAGGTGGGCTCAAAGAATTCTTCTTATGTTATCATTATTATTATTATCATGTTTATTGTTATTAGCATGTTTATCATTTTGTTTTAATAATATCATTGTTATTACATAATAATTCTCACAATAGTATGGTAGTCATTGCAATAATTCTTACTAGTCATTGTCATTGTAATAATAATGTTATTGTTATTGTTATTGTTTACCCTTGTTCTAAGCTATCTGGAGGACCTAGGTCATGGCTGTGGTGCATTTTTGAGTCATCGCAAAAGGTGATCACCTTGGATTTCAGGGTGCCGAACAGGTTCCTGGACCCTCAAACTAGCCATTAAAAATGGTTTTCACCGCATAGCGTGGGGGCAATCACCCTTGTTTTTAAGGGTATTTTGAGGGTCCAGGTGCCCAAAATGGGTCAGAGCCACACTCCCACCAAATCATATGGAACCTGACAGGAGGTCGGAGGTCCCTTTCGTTTTGTAGCTTGACTACAAATAAGACAAACAGGGAACACTAAAAGATACATTCGCTTTAGGCGAGAGAAGGTTTCACTGGAAATGGGTGTGTCTTTCTTTGAGGGTACCTGCTTTTGGTTGGTGTAAAAAGACGGCAAGAGGAAACCAACCACTGTGGGGGGTCCCCTTTAAAAAGGCAGACTCAAGCCTTGCTAAATGGAAGCAACCCCTACCGGCGCTTTGCTCTAGCTCTTTACTTTTGAGCCACAAGAGTTTACCGGTGCTTACCTCTTAAAAACACAACTTTTCTCAACTTTTTGGGGGTAACATGGGCTATATGTCTGTAAAATATTAACTTCAGGGCGCAGGGAGTTTTAAGGGGTAAGTGTGCCAGAAGGCACCGGACTTCCATATGCTAAGAAGATGTTTGCATCCCCTCGCACTGCTCGGGGCCTGGGCTTTGGCCCCGAGCATATCCTGCGACTCTGAAACCGCTTGTGCGTTTCCTGGTCTGTTTTTGCATCATAGGGATGAACGCGGACAATGATGACTCAATTCGGGTTCTAAAAGTACCCACAGTTTGATTGCAATTGTTTAGGCGTCTGTCGCTTTGACACAGCAGAGAAATATAAGCACCACATGAACTAAAACGGAGATCCGCAAATCTGCCCTTAAGGGAACCCAAACTAAGTTACTCAGTGGTTTTTCCAAATATGTATCGGCCTTCCTTCATCCCAAAACTGGTGCAGGATTCCGTCAATGCACAGTAGAGCCCAAACTCAGTTGCGAAAAACGAATCGACCTGTTCACCTGGTAACTCCTGGTCAATGTTTGGTTTCCCCTTTTCGACCAATTTTCAGCTTCCCTCTTTTTTTGACATTTTTTAGTGGCCTCCAAAGGTGATCACCTTCTGGGCATATACTTAATATGCAATATGAAACGCTCACAGACAGACATTCATATAACATAATGCAATAAATTATAGTATCGTATACGATGCTATAGTATAACAAAGTTAATATATATATATATATACATACATATATATATATATAATCAATAGCAATGATAACAGTAAGAATGATAACAGTCACCATGTATACACAAACACATGTGTATATATATATATACATATGGGTTGGTTGATTGGCGGTCGGTTGGTCGTTTGGTTGGCAACCCACCTCCAGACCAGAGGCTGTGGCCTACATCCACTGCACTGCCGGGCTCGGACGGGCGCCCGCCACAGCGCTGGCGTACATGCGCCTCGGAAGAAACCCGGGCGGAGTCACCGGGTCCCCGTATGGTTCTGGATGTTTTGGTGCTTTGTTCTTTAAGGCTCTTTTGGTTCTTGGATCATTTTTTTTCGTTTCTCGTCGTGTTTTTCATTTCTTTTTCGTTTGTTGGTTCTTGGAACATGTTTTGTCCTGCCTGGTGTTTTTGCTCCGGTGTTGTATGGTTTTTTGCTCATGTTTAAGTTTGGGGGCTGCAAGAAAGAATCCTTTTTCCGAGCCGTACCAGGGTTGAGGCTTGTGCAGAACGTGTGCCGTTTGGAACGAAATGCACCACCTGCCAACCACCCTTGGAATCCGAACGCACTCCCCAAAGAAGTATGACATTTACGGAGAACGCTGGGTTTGGTGCTGACCCTGTGCAGCAAACCGTACAAGTCATGGCGAGCGCAACGAGCGGAGCGGCTAGACTGGGTTCAGGTTTACCAGCTGTTGGCCCGCACAACCTGTAACCGCGCAGATGGCAAGAACCCACGCTCAAGAACCCACGCTCAAGTGCACCCGCTACTCAGTGCATCCATGCGCACGGATGGTAATAACCCACGCTCAAGTGCCGACAAACACTCACAAGAAGTGTGCTTGGAACGAAAGTTTGGACCTTCTTGGTCAGAAAAGGTGGTTTGCCTAGACGAAGCGCTGGCCGATGCCATTTTGGGGCGCGCTCGCGGGGTTTTGAGGACATTGCAAAGGCAACATTCTTCATTCAGGTTGTCAAAACCTGCTTTTTTGTGGTTTGCTTTTAAGAGACCTTCAAAAACCCTTGGAAGAGTGCTGGCGGCCTACAGGCAACCGTTACCATGTTTTTGAGCCATAGCCAAATGGGGCCATCTCCAGACTCTGTTCCTTGCACCCATCAAAACCCACCAGTTTTTCGTTGAAAATCCGGGGTTCCCATTCAATTGTGCCAAACAAACATAGATGCGCCCGTTTTGTCCCAAGACGCCGTCCGTTTTTGTCAGGTTCTTCGTGGAAGGTATGGGCCTGGATGACGCCTACGCCAAGCTGCGGCTCGTTGGCTGGGGGGTCCGTCCGGCGTTTGCGCGTTGTTAAAACGCGCTGGGCGGGTCTTCGTTTTTTCTGAACCGGACACCCTCCCCCAAAAAAAGGTGGGGAGTTGTTAAAACGCTGACGTTTTTTTCTTGAAGGGGGAACTGGACACCCTCCCCACAACTTTTTGTTTGAAGGGGGGGGGTGTTCACGGTGCTGTCCTTTTTACAGCCAGGCAAGAAGGGTACCCTCAAAACAAGGTGTTTTCCCTTGTGGTTCATCTTTATCATCGACCTAAAACTAGCTGGTGGTTGGAACGGAGCGGGGCTCGCAGCTTACTTGGGGTGTTGAAATTCCCCGTTCAATGAGGGAGCCTTTCGGAGCTACCGATCTGAGTTCTGGAAGGACATGGTAAAAAGGGCTGCCCTACAAAACAGACGGCCCCAGTTGTACGCGTAGATGGGTTACCCTCAACAAAAAAGACGACCCCCACAGCAATGTGTTTGTTTGTGTGGTGTGAGACATTTTCTGCCCCTCCCTCCAGATGGGTCAGATGTCAAATTTTTGGAGGTCGGGATTCCGGACCTTTTTTGTTGGTTGGGTTTTGGTTTGGTTTTGGTTTGGTTTTGGTTTGGTTTTAAGCAAGGTCAATCCACACAACACATTGGAGTGAAGCTGATTGAAAGGAACGCTAGTTTGTTTACAGCGGTCCCCGTTGGGTGGTTGGTTTCAGGACACCCCTTGTGAATAGGTTGGGGCATGAATCAGGGGTCGACATGTTGCTTGGCATTCATGGTCCTGCCATCTACGTGTCTACAATTCAGAGAAAAACATGGGCCGCCCTGGAGCCCGTCCTATCAATAGGGGGGGGGTCCTCTCCAAAAGCAAGTGTCCATCAAAGCGGGTGCAGAGAGCTCATCGTGCGGGGAGCGGTGTCTGAAGTGACCAAGTCATTTTCCGAGTGACATGCCACGCTTTAGTCGCCCAAAGCCCAAAGCCTTCATTTTTGAGGGCACGGCACTCGGGAGGTTCAACCTGCCTCGGTCGCCAGCCTCGTCCACTCATGTTGTTACTGGATGGGACTTCCTTTTTGCCCCCATTTCAAGGATCATCGTATCCAAGCGAAACTTTGCAGAGGGCCAAGTCACTCATTTTGAATCTGAAAAGACAATTCCGAGGCAATGCTTTCGCGTTCCCACAATCAAAACCCGGGTAGATGAAGGTTAGTAAGGGACCAACCATAGATAGCTGCGGACATGCTTCTGGGTAGACCATGTTAATACCGGGTTTTGAGTACGACTCAGGTTTCATGTTTTCAATCCACTTGGTTGAGCCACCAGGAAGATAATTTCGCGAGGTATGAGGTTCGAAGATGCCATCCCCAGCTGAACATGGTCCGTGCTGCCGCCTGCGCGGGGCGCCCAATTGGTTTTTAAACTTGGGTTTGGTCGAATCGAAGTTTCTTGAAACAAACTAGGTCTCCCAGTAGTGCCCTTTTGCCATTTGTTGGGGAGGGAACCCCTACTAAAATAGACTACATAAAAAAAAAAAAAGAGTTGGTACCCAGAACCCTAGCCTCTCCTTTGGAGCACCTAGAAGCAACACATTTCCCCATGGGATTCCCGGGCCTTCAACTTTTTGGGAAGACCATGTTGGTGGCGTTTCTAAACGTTTGGTTACTTGTTTTGGCGCATCTCAGGAAGAGAGGCAGGGTGCCCTCTTTCGCGGGGGTAGGTCTCAATAGACTCCTAGCTGGAGATTTATACTCTCCATGGATTTACTGGTAGTTCTCGTCTTTAACTTGCTGTTCCCAAAAGTCGAGATGTTTTTTAGGCCGGAGAGTGGCTTGTGGGGTTCCAGGGGGAGAGCTGTGGAACCCGTTCGGAACCCACTGGGCGTGTGGGAAAGACCGCTTTAGTGGTAGACCGTTTCGCAGTAGTGCCAATCCGTTTTCTGGGCCAAGAAAAGTTGGGGGAGGGCGGGTGCCATGAGGTTTCTCCGCCTAAAGGGGGGGTGAGGAAGCCGCCAAAGGGACTGGCCTTCGTTTTTTTTGTTTTTTTTTTCTCCGGGACGGGTTGGGGGTGAAGGGGTTGGTTGGTGGGTGGGTTGGTTTGTTGGTTTGTTGGTTTACTGGTTCACTGGTTGGTTGGTTGGTTGGTTGGTTGGTTGGTTGGTTGGTTGGTTGGTTGGTTGGTTGGTTGGTTGGTTGGTTGGTTGGGTGGGTGGGTGGGTGGGTGGGTGGGTGGGTGGGTGGGGGGGACTCCGAATCCCCCTGCGCGGCTTGGGCCGAGGACCTGTTGTCCGGGGAGATGGGCTCAGGGCAGCTGCGGATCTCCATCAAGCGACCGGAGGCGCCCGGCGGTTTTTGTTGGACGGGTTTGACGGATTTGAGCGCGTGAGAAGACGTCGGGGTCTTTTTGCTAGGTCTCCCAGTAGTGCCCTTTTACCCTTTCTTGGGGGAGGATTCCCCTACCAAAATAGACCACAGAATTCCAGGGTCCTTGTTCTAACCTCTCTACTGGAGGACCTAGTTTGAGCTTCTGGACTGCCTTTTGAAAACCCATGAACATGTGGCAAGCAGAAGGTGCGGCAGTTTTTGTGTTTTTGCCATCTGAGCGGAATCCGCTTCAATGAGCTGGGGCCCAGGTGGTCAGCTTTGGCTTCTGAAAGGGAACCAGCTCAAATTCGCACAAGGGGCGCAAGGGGGGCAAGGTCTCGTCAAAATGGCTTCGGGTTTCCGTTCGGATGTTGGGCCCCTTGGACCAACATCCGCTGTGCTCCCTGTTCCGGCAAGGCATGTAGGCTTCAGGCAGTTCTGTTGCCGAGCCCCACCAGATTGAGTTTGATTATACTTTCCATACGTCATATCGAATGCACATAAATACTCACAAGCGCACACACACACACATCATGTGTATATAGATCTAAACACATAGGGTACAGACAGAATTCAGACAGAGAGACAGACAGATAGACAGATAGCTATATGTTTTTTTTCAGCGGCCTGTGTTCGTCGTCGTCCCCGAGGCCGCCCGCGCCGACAGTTTCTGTCAGCCCGGCCATGGGGCAGGAAGGCTTTTGTTGGGAACATCTTCACCTGACCTTTGCTGCAGGCCAGCTTGTAATTTCGCGCTTGGCCAACTTGCACTTTCAAGGCCAGAACGCCTAGTTGGGGGCGAGCAGGTGCTAGCACCTGCTTTCCCCCAAGCGCAGCTAGTCTTAAATCGCCCGAGTGAGCCTCTGCGCGTCATTGAGGGCTTGGCAGCGCCTAAGCTTCGGCGACTTGGTCACCTCCGACCGCGCAGAAACATCCAGCTGATGCTGCAACACCGCGCCTGTCTTAGCCTTGACCAAAGTAAAGGACATGGTTCACCACATGGATTTCCGTTGGTCGAAAGTCATGTTGGGGACCAGCGGCAACCTTTTAAACGAACTGGAAGGAGATGCACACCCCATCCCCCCCCCCCCCGGCACCTGTCTCAGTGCTTCCCGCTGCATGGTAGATAATCAGACAGACACAATTGCCATTGATCAGCTGCGAAAGTCCAACCGCTTTGCCACACCACTCACGTCTGCTACCACCCCCCCAACTCCGTGTGACTGGTTGCTTTGAGGGGACCTGGGTTCATTCCCTCATTCCCGGATGGGCACCAACCAGATTACCCCACCCCCAAACCCCGTGCTGCAGAAACGTGGCATAGTGGACAGCGCACACCATTACCCCCACCCCAACCCCTGCCCCCAACCCTGGCTGCGCAGCAGCAAACGTAGTTTATTGAAGGCTTTTGTATATATATATATACACATATATATATATACATTTATATATATATATACATCTACATGCAAACGTTGTTCAATCATACAAGCACCTCAGTATAACTGCTATGTCGCTACATGTATGCATCTTCACATGTGTTGATCTAGCAAGCGCCTTGGATGCGCTTTTTGTGGATTTCACCTGTTCTTCCCCCTGTTGATCCGTTTTTAGTCATCGTCTAGTCCTCTTTGATATCCTACGGGTTGGTGGATCAGTACCGAGTTTTGATTGTGACTCAAGTGCATTCCTGGTTTCAAGTTGCCTCGAGCGGGAAATCTGGTCAGAGGCCAAGACGGTGGAGATCGCCGGGCTGGACGTGGGCTGGCACGAGCGGCTGCCGTTGGCCGGCACGCCCAGTCATCCGTCACCCGCGCACACGCGCATCCGCGCATCCGCGCCCGGGGTGGGCATCGCCGGTGGGAAAAGAAACGCTTTTCTCACTTGAGCTGAACATCCTTGAGGTTTTTTTTGGGTGGGAAGGGGCTTGCGTTAAACCAATTGGCTTTCTCCCGCCCTGTCCAAGTAAAAAACTTTCGAAGTTGGGGTTTCCAGTGGTCCATTCTTGGCCACAAAAGACGATCGGCTTTTAATTTGTGGCTCCCTACGGGGCAAGTGAGTTGGTAGTGTTTCAATTGTTTGGTTCTCTTTGTTGTTGCTGGGAGAAAAAAAGAGCACAGGTTTGGGAAGAGGCTGTTCTGGCTTCCTTTGAGATTGGGCACTCCGCTCCAATGTTCGAAGGATGGTGCTAGAGGGAGGGAGGGGTAAAGTGGATGGTGTTTGTTGGTCAAATTTTAGCTTGGGAGGGACACGAAGGGGGGTTATTAAATTCCAGAAAGAAACCAACCGAGCCCCTGATTTTGCCAAGTCTTGTATGCATGTGTGCATGTGTCTTTTAGAGGTTCCCCAAAACGGAGGTTTTGACTTTGGTTTCCCTTTAAAACCACCAACAAAACAGCCACCCTCAAAGAAGGCACGCACACATCTTCCAGGTTCACATGATCGATTCCCTTTCCTCGGCGTGGGTAACCATGTCGGCCACAGGAGGTTTGACCCCAGCTCAGACATGAGAACATGCCCGTTTGCTTGAAAAGAACACGGGAGTCTGCTCCAAGAGGGCTGCTTAGAGGGTGATACTAAACTGAAGGAGGGGCGTCCAAAGACAAGCCCCTCCTGGGGAAACATTGTTGAGTCAAGGGTTTCAACATGGCCCTGTGTTACCTTACCCTATGCTTTAAGAAGAAAAGAATGTCTGACCCCTTTGTTTGGTTAAAGCGTATAGCGTTTCTGTAGCAAACGACGCGGCCAACAGCCGCCACCCGGTCACCCCGCCAGCAACAGCCGCCAACTATGTCAACTTCTTATCTGGTTTTGCTTGGCCCTTGGGCCTGATCCAAGGACCTTAGTAGGCTCCCAAGGTGTTTCCCTTGCAAACAAATATCCAGGCCAGAAACTCAGGAAGTGAAGAAACAAAAGGTGGCCAGTCTTCGACTCTTTTGGGCCAATCCACATCAGGGAGTGAGTTTCAGTGATAAACAAGAAGTTCAGATCGTTTTTGGCCAACCCAATCAGCAAGTGAGCCGGAAAGGCATCCCTGGAAGTTCTTGATTTGCAACTTCCGACCTGCGGATGTGTGGCTTGATTCATGGGGATGCTCAACTACTTTGCATTGTTCAGCCACAACCTTTCGAGATGTTCAGCGACTTTGCATTTGTCGGGCCCATTTCGAGTTGTTGAACAAGAGTCGGGTGATTTCTTCGTTTCTTTCTTGGTTGTCCAAAGCCGACCTTTTGACCTTTTTGTTTTCCAATTTTGGTCCATTATAGTCTCAAAAGGTGATCACCTTTTGTTTCCGGGTCAGCTGAAGCCCCCATGGATTGGGAAGCCCCCAGCTTGGGCAACTGAGTCTTTCAACCGAAGCTGAGTTCCAGTTACTTACCTCTTAAAAACACAACTGTTCAACTTTTTTGGGGTAACATGGGCTATATGTCTGTAAAAGATTAACTTTTTCAGGGCTTGGAGTTTTAAGGGGCAAGAAAAGGGTCCTCCTGAGGTCAAAGAAGGGGAGGACTTTGTGCTGGATCGCGCCACCCCGCCCGGGGTCTATCAGTACAAGTTCATCGTGGACGGGCAGTGGCCGGCGCCTCAGGTCCAAGTCAATTCGACCTATGGCAGATGGATCCCCGTTTTTTTTTTTTTTTTTTTTTTTTTAAACGTTTTGTTTGTCCCAGCTGCCCCTATATTTCCACATCTGGTGGCTACCTCTGGTTCTGAAGAGGGTAAACGGGGTTTCCCACCCTTGTGCGGCTTTTTGGGTTCCCATTACCGACGTGACCGGCAGGATGGCTTGCCCGGAGCTCCCCTCGGTGGACGACAACGGCTCCTCGCCTCGTTGGAGGAGTTTCTTCAGAGGGCACACACCCACTCGTTCTTCACTGTGCCGCGGCGCCGGTTGTTTTGGGGGCGCCACGGTTTCCCTTTTTGGTTTCCACAATTAGAGAAAAATCCACCAGAACTTGGTGCCAACTTACAAAAACAAGAGGCGCCCAGTTTTTGGGCGCTTTTGGCTTTTCAGCAGCCAGGGTTGTGGGATCAAGCGGTTTCTCCCCACTTCTGTGATATAAGGGAATTCCCCTTTAGAACAAATTGGTCTTTGGGAAGCCCTTTCTGTTGTATCGCAGAAGTGGGTTCCATTCCCCACAGCCCTGCGCAGCCCTGTACGAAGAATGCTCATCATGAACTGGGCATCTTTCGTGCTTCCGAGTCTCGACTCCCTTGGTAGGCTTGACGTCACCTTTGTGGAAAGAGGAGACCCACCTTGTGGATGGGATGCGGGGAAGCTTCAAATGCTCACTTCCTGGTTTCTTGGCCTCTAGTTACTTTTTGGGCTTGGTGCAAACAGGTTAGACTTGTTTGGCGGATCGACTCAGGAATTAAGTGAAACAGTGAAAGATGCAATCTGCCTAGACGCTTTGGCGAGATCATGCTTCCGGGCGGTTTGGATCGGTGATTTGGATGTTCGAACTTTCGACCCCCTGCTTCTCTCAGCGACCAAATGGGGGCAAACCAGCAATCCAAACCACCAAGAAGGCAGCTGACTGCTTCCTTCGCCTAGAAGTAGGCGCACGTAGAGCGCCAGCATACGTGTCCTTTTTGGTTGATTTGGTCGAAAAATAGGGGGCGTTTCCTAGTTTACCTGGTGGTTCAATCAACTACCAGGGCCCTCTATTTTCCCAAAAGGACGCCTATGCTTGCAAGCCTGGCCAAACACACAAGTCGCAAACTTTGAACTGTTGACCGCTTCGCCTTAGTCAAGGCCCCCTGTCGCCTTAGTCAAGGCCCCCTTGTCTATTTTCGCCTCTTGCAAGCCTGGCCAAACACACAAGTCGAAAACCCCCCTGTCGCCTTAGTCAAGGCCCCCTTATCTATTTGGGTGTGGCTCAAAATTAAACGATCGGAGGGGCAAACCGCAGGTTTTGGTACCCATGTTTCCACTTACCAGGGCAACCCATTTTGGAATTTTCCGGTTTTTTGAGCCCCAGCCATTCATTTTCGCCCATTTTGTTCGGCGCCAGGCAACGTGAACAACCTGGCGCGGGTGAACCCCACCCCGGGCACCCCGGACGCCGAGCGCCGGGAGCGGCTCATGAAGAAGGGCGCCAAGCCCACGGAGGAGGACGGGCGACGTCCGGAAAACCCGACGTCCGAAACCCGACGTCGAAGTTGTTCTCCGAAGGCCCAAGGGGGTGTCCTCCATGTGTTTAATAGTTGTTTTTTGTTTTTTTGTTTTTTGTTTTTGGCTTTGTTGGGTTGAAGAGGATTTCATCACTGCTGGAAATATGTTGTTTTTTCCTGGGGCCGGCCGTGTTGAAGATGAACCAGGTCCCCCCAGTAGTGCTCTTCTCACCGTCTTTTTTGGGGAGGCTCCCCTACTAAAACAGACTACAGAAAAAACGGGTACCCTTTTTCTCCTACTGGAGGACCTAGTCAAGTAAGCCTGGAGCACCCATTGTAAGACACATTTGTGTTGCATAAATGTGTGTTGAAAAAGTAAGTAGGTCATGTGGTTGATGATGACCCCTGAGTTGGCTTGATACCTTTTTGGGTTTTGGACCATTTTATTGGTAAACAATAAGTTGGCACGCCAGCCCACCAAGGAAGTAAGAAATGGGCGAACCCCCCCACCCCCCAAAAAAAACACACACACACACACACCAAGATGGTTTCCGTTGAGTTTTTCCATTGCCAACAAGGTTTGAAAGGGGACAACGCCAGCTTCGGGGGTCCATGGGGGTCCCCTGAAAAAGACGAGCCCACGCGCAGGGTCGGGCTTTTCACATAGAAAGTGTTTGAACCCCAACTGAGCCACAATCAAAACCCGGGTAGATGAAGGTTAGTAAGGGACAATCCCAACCATAAATAGCTGCGGCCGCCTTCTTAATCCTGTACATGGTTCTGGGTAGACCATTTTAGTACCAGGGTTTGATTGCGACTCAACTAATCGAAGAGCACTGCCCCTTCAAAGAGCCCCTTTCCAGGTGCGCAGAACAAGCGGATGTGCAGCGCGACTCCAAAAGTATCATTTTGGTTTGGAAGTAGGCAGAGAGAACCTCCTAATCCGTGCGGGAGCGAGTAAGAATCAGCCAGCAGGACCCCCAATCGTAGCTCGTCTGCTTCCTGGAACCAAACAACAAACTACCATACTACGGGCATACTAGGTCCCCCAGTAGTTCCCTTTTACCCTTTTTTTGGGGAGGGTTCCCTACTGAAGTAGACTACGGCAAAAAGGGTACCCGTATTCCAACCTCTCTACTGGAGCTAGCACATGTGCCCGAATGATGCCGGCCCTTTTCCGCACGACGTCCAATCTTAGGGGGCGGGCTGGGGCGGGGCTTTAAATCTCCTGTGACAAACGGGTGCTAAGTGTACCTGTGGGTTGCGACTTTGGAGCGTGCAACTGAGGAGATGCAGGAGCTGCGCCGGATTTTGGGCGTTTGAGAGGAAGCAATCGTTCAGGACCTCCACAATGTTCAGAACCTCTCCAGCGAGCTACTGCGGAACCCACAAAAAAGGTTCCCACACAAGGAGATTCCCCCAACCATGGAGCTGTTGTTTGCGAAAACGAACATGTTGCTTTCGCTTCAATGTGAATCTGAAAGGTGTGTACTTCCCCAAGTGCCTGCTATTCCTGGACGAACCCCAATCGTCAACGTAGGGTTGAATATGCCTAGATAGGTTAAACTCGAGTTGAGGGGGGGGGGTCCTGTGAATCCATGTTGTGAGATGATTTTGCTCCGGAGCGGAGCAGCCGGCAAGAGCCGACATTTAGCTTTGCTCGCGCGGACTTCTCTCTGGAAGCTGGTGAACAGATGTGAGTTTGTTTCAAAAATTGGGGGCCAATGGCAACGGTTTCCTTTCAGCTTCCCTTCAAGCCCATCCCAAGACGGGGTTCCCCTATTTTGAAACATGCTCAGCTTTCCACTTGCCAACAGCTGGACAAATCCACAGCGGCAGGTGCGGTGCATTACACTACACGTGCGACGAGTGCAGCGTGCGGTGGGGAAAAAAGCGCCCGGCATCACAGCCCTGTTTCTTAAAAGCATGCTGCAAGGTCTGAAGAACTAGAATGGAAATATGGGGTGCTCTAAAACCAGACTGACTGATGATCATGCGGGCAGTATGTGTCACCAACGGATGCTTTAACATGCTTTAAGATGCTTTAATATTTCTCAGATATTTCAAGACATGTTTAAGCGTTGCAAGTCCAAGTGGGAAAGCCCAACAGATTTCAAGAGCTTCCTAGGTCCCTGACTACTGGCATATGTGCAGGGTGCCCACCTTACGTTGAGCGGGGAGGTCTGAGCTGATTGTTTTTGCCTGCTTGCGGTGGTGCCAACCCCTTTGTGACACAGTAGTCGGCTCAGGGCTGTTTTCCGCAGCCGTGCAATATTTGCTTGGGCTGGGCTCGCGATTGTTCCAAGGCCTTCCCCCAAAGTGGTAAGATAAAGGCATCAAATCCGAGTTGACCTTGAGACCCCCCCAAAAAATTGCTGAACAATAGTTGTTCATTTTCCCTTGTTGGTTTTAAGGGGAATCTATCACTACTGGATAACCCCCCCCCAAAACCGTCAATTTCCGGTGGATGCCTTTGCCATGTTTGATATTATAAGCACGGGAACAGAGACTCCATTTTGCCGTAATTTACCATGGCTTGGTGCATGAGTATGGTTGGGTTTACCCCATTGGGACCCTAGTTGAAGTAGGGGTTGCTGAGCTTGCGAGGTTGCCTGACCCGCGGCCGCCCAGGCTGGATCGGGACAGACAAAATATTTAGCCGTATTTGGATGTGTCTTGTTTTGAGGATACGTGTTGGCAAAAACCAAAAGCGATCCGACCTTTGTTAGGGTCCATGTTTTTTACACACCCATTTAGCCGGCCCGACGTGTCAGGCTATTTGACCGTCCCGCGCGGGGGGAGGGGTACGGTTGGGTCCTTGCTTGTTCAGACCACGAGGCCGAGGTGGACTTGGGTTGTCTCAAACACGAGGAGAGGGTCCCACAAAAAAGTGGACGGTTTCCTCTTGGCTTCTCTTTGAACCCAACCAAAAAGGAGGCCCCGGAAAAGGCACAGCCACTTAAACCTAGACGTTCTCCTTTTTTGAGATCAACTATAGCCCTAGGGTTGGGTCTACCTCGGACTGTCGAAAAAGGAGTCTTTGCGCCTACAGCGGGGAGAAGAGGTATGGTCCCGGCCAGTTCCCGATTCTCACTTGACCATGCCGATTCTTCTTTCCCATCGAGATCCAATGCCGGAGGCTGATCCTTTTTTCCCCAACAAGAAATCCACTGGGCATTTGAGCCCAAGGGCCCGAAGAAGGCCGGATGCTGATTCGTTCATGGAAAGTTTCCACTGGGCCCCTTTGAGCCCAAAAGACTCCCGCCAGGAACCCTCCGGGCGTGGTGGGCCGAAGGCCGCGCCCCAAGGCCGCGGCTCCGGCCCGGGAGCCCAGCCGAGATCGAGGAACCCTTCAGGAATCCAGCCGTTTTCCTTTTTTGAGACAGATCCGCGTGTTTTGTTTTCGCGATCCGAGTAGATTGGGCGTAGCAAAAAGACAAGAAAGAAGAAGAAACAAAAAAAGAAGACGAGGAAGGTGGTTTTCCTTTGAGGCTTCCTGTGAGGCGCCAGCAGTGGGTACAAACTCAGAAGGGGTTCCTGGGTCCTTTTCGAGTTCCCAGTTTTAGAGGTACCAAAAGATCAGCCCAAACTCTGAATGGGCGGTTTGGCTTGGGATTTGAAAAACGCCAGTCCCTTGAGCCAACTCGGAAACCTTCTAAGATCCAAACCAAACCAAACCACCAGGGAAGCTGACTGGGGGGCAGAGAAAAATGAGTGCAGCCAGTAGCAGTGCTTTGCCTCTCGGCCTTTTTGAGCGGGTCGAGAGGCAATCCTTTAGGAACTGGGTTTCGTCTACAGGAGACCTAGTGGAAATACAATTTGGCCCTTCAATTGCCGCTGAATTCCAGCCTCTGCAAACCCAGAAGATTACCGAACCCACCGAGGCTGTTTTCTCAATGTGGGCTGACCATTGCCCACACAAAGGCTCCCCCCCCTCTTATCATGGAAGCTGAGGATCGGAGGGGTCAAGACTACTTCCCTTTTGGGGGACTCACACACAGTGTCCTTTGGAGGTTCCCTTCAAAAGGACATTTGCTCGGACACCACGAAAGCTAGCGATAGCAGAACCGAATAAGCCCAGGCGATATCCCCAACACCCCCAGACCCCCTTGTAACCCTCTCCCAAAAACTCACAACACACAAAACTGGCTTGCCGGGTCTCCGAAGCCACGCTTAGGTGGTGCTTCCGCAGCTCAGAGAAGAGGCGCCATTGGCGCCGGTCTTGGCTCGTCTTTGAGGTTGGACCACCCAAATTGATGAGGCCATGGGTCAAAAGCCCGTACCCCAGTGATCATCCCAATCCCCACTCCAATTGAGTGTCCGTTTCGTTGCCCAAAGTGAATCTTTTGGTTGTCCTGTTTTGGTCCATACTTAGTCGCGGTCTCAAAAGGTTAGCCTTGAATTTGTAGGTCCTTGGGCCATGTAAGTGTTGCTGATTAAGAGAACCCAAAAAGGGGTACAAACTCCAAAAACAGAAAGTCGAGCCACCGCTTTTTACGATTAAGCATCCGCATTTTGTTCCTTCGTATGACTCCACAAAAATGGAACTCTTGGATGGGACCCGACCGGCTCTTCCGTTGGCCGACCGGGGAAGTGAGGCCGCCCTTTAGATGGCTCTTGGAGAGACACTGTGGATGGACGAAATCCTGCACCACCTAAGAAACCCTAGAATGATGATTCCCCTGTAAATACCAACAAACAATGGCTTCAACCATGGTTTCAAAGTGGTGCGACATGTATTTCGTCCATCCACAGCAGCACGCAACTCACTTGAGGTGTCGGCTTATGTGAAAATGAAGTGACGTGGTCCAAAGCTTCAAAACTGTCAGGCCTGCGCTTGCTAGTTGACTGGACCCATGGGAGAGTGAAGCTTTTTGAGGGTATGCGATTAGTTTGAGGGGGAAGTTAAAAGGAAAGCAGTCACTTAAGCCACTGTTGGGGTTTTCCAAGACGCTCCCCCTTTTTCTCAGTTGACCTTTTGTTGACTTTCAATTGGGTCCACTGCTAGAAAGGCCAACCTTGTATTTCGAGGTTCTGGCAACCGAGTTTTGTGCCCATCCTCAAATCAATAGCGCGGGGGTCAAATCCTTTTGAGTTGGCGACCGTACGAGGTCCTTTACATGGCAATCCAATTCTTAGCTCAGGTTTTTGGAACTATTGAACTGATCACCACCCCTTGAACCAATCGACCTGGAATTACATCTGCTTTTCCTAAAAAAAATCGGTCGAGCCATTTTGTGAGTCATGGCCCCAAAATTGGCCAACCTTTGATTCCTGGGTCCTTTGGGCAGAGACTCTGCAAGGTGTCGCCTTGAGTCCCTGGTGTCGGGGCTCGAGGAAGTCCAGGCGTCATTTCCCCAGGCCCCACACGGCCCTACAACCATGTTCGGTTAGCCCGTCTCTTAGCGTTCTAGCACGATGCTGCATGGGGGGGGGGGGGGTTACCTGTTGAGCCCAAAGGTCATGGACCATTCATGTGAGACGATTCAATCCTGAGCAGCTTGAACAGTTACCCAAAAGAGTCCCAGAGAACAAGGATAGTCAGGTGATGTCACTTTGTGTATGCTTCGCTGTTGTTGGTATGATTTAGGTTTTCTCGGTTTGTTGGTTCTATTGATTTTTAGTAGGCTGCCACAAACAGTCAGTTCCTTGCTACCATACCAAAGCTTAGAAAGTTTAAAACCACTAGAAAACTGTTTGGTGGTTTTAAATGGAAACGTAAAGGACCATCACCCTTTGTGCAGCTTCACCTAAAAACAGGACACCGCCATGTGATGTCACTTGCCAGGGATCAGCTTTCAACTCACGACCTTGAAGCTCAGTGCAGGAGGTGGCCGTTCCCACAGCCCTTCTGGAGGCTGCAGCAGATAGCTCGCACACGCGCCGAGTTTTGGCCGAGTGGTGTCGAACGGGTTGGGTCAGGGCTCGAGTTGGGACACCCCTCACTCCCTCACTCCCTCAGTTCCGTTTCCGACTTCATACTGTCGGGATTTGGACTATTTGAGGTGTAAATTGAAAGTTCCTGGACTTTTTGTGGCCAAGCCACTCGATCGGAAGTGAGCATGCTGGTTAAACGAGCTTTGGCAGCCACGCAAAGGTCATGACCCTTGGTCATTGATTCATGACCCCTTATACTGTGGATGCACAAAACCCATTTCGCAGCACCCAAGACGCCACAGTTGAAACCAGAACGTTTGTTGGTATTTACAGGGGGATCATGTCCATTCCAGGGTTTCTGAACGGTGGTGCCTAAGAGGATTTCGTCTCCATCCACAGTATGACGTCACGTTATGTCACGGTGAAGTCAGGGATCGGCTGCAACGACCCAAAGGGCTTCGGATTCGGCAGGGCGCTCAGGGCTCCGCCAACCAAAAAAACGCCGGGGTGAAACTGGGGGTCCTTTGTGGGGGGTTGTTTCTATGTTTTTGGGGGTTTGCTTGGTTGTTCGCTTCCGTGTCTGATTTGTTTGTGTCATTTATTTGATTGCTTGTTACTTAATTAGTCAGCTAGCTGCTTAGTTAGTTGCCTAGTCACTTAGTCACTGTTTGTTTGTTTGTTTGTTTCTTAGTTTGTTTGTTTCATTGTCTTGTTCTTAGGTCCCCGCTCTTTTGCAGGCTGAGTTCTGTCCCGCCAGGCCGCCGAAGCTCGGGACGAAGGGCGCTGCAGGGCGCTGGTTGGGGCCCGAGGGACCTCTCCGGGCGTTTGCACCTTTGGCGCATCGCAGTGGAGTTGCCTGAGCCTCGGGCAGATGAAGGTTAGCTTACCTCTTAGAAACACAACGTTTCAACTGTTTGGGGGTAACATGGGCTATATGTCTGTAAAATATTAACTTTTTTAGGGCTTGGAGTTTTAAGGGGTAAGAAGAAATCTAGGTCCTCCAGTAGTCCCTTTTTTGGTTGGGAGGGCGGCCCTACTAAAATAGACTACAGAAAAAAAAGAAAACCCTTATTCTAACCTCTCGACTGGAGGACCTAGGAATAGTCCCAACCAGAAATGCTTGCAGCCGTCTTTGTAATACAATTCTTTTCTGAAGGATTCTGGACAGACCATGTTCATACCCGGTTATTATTATGACTTACCTGGAATGAGGATGTCTTAGACTCAGACCAAACTGTGGCTACTTTGTTTGGTCATATGATTTTGGCCTGGACATAAAGGGGAATCCTACAAGTTCAAGTTCAACATGTCTCAGCTTCCCCTAATTGGTGGTTTGGATTGGTGGTTTGGTGGAGGGTACTTGTCATTATTGTAGGACTCCCCTACAAAACGGATCAAGTTCATGGGGTTCAGGGTTTCTTAGGGGTTTCATGGGGTTGATAGACCAGGGCTTCATTTGGTTTTACAGAGTTTCGCATCAGTTTGTTGAATAAGGGTCTCACGGGGCGTAGGGGCTAAAAATGGAAGGAACCCAACAAGGGGGTCCATTTCCCAAACAAGTTCCCTCCAAAAGCGTGGGTGGCGTTCCGCCCAGCTGACAGCTTTGCCGAGCCCGTCGGCCCGTCGGGCTCGGCCCAGATAGGCTCTGGTGGGTCCAGGGCTGTTGGGGATGGTTTGGTCCCACCTTTATTTTGGAGTCTCCTTCTGACCCTTAAGGCCTTAAGGCCTTAAGGCCTTAAGGTGATTCGGGTCATGACCCAAAAGAAAGATTCGGGTCATGACCCCATTTTGAAAGAGTCAATAGGAACCTTTAGGTGGGTTCATGGTTGTCGTTGGAAACATTTTACATGTTTGCTTATTGTGGTTTAGTGGTTGAAATCCAACCACTTAACTGCTAAAAATTAAGTTTTTGCTCGAAAAATGGAGGTCTGGCGAGTCGGAAATCCATTCCCGCGGTGTGAGGTGCAGCATCCGCGGTTCCACCACATCAACCACAAGACCAAGGACGCGGGTTGAGGGAAGTTGGGGGGGAACTGGAGTATGTTTAACACATCACTCAAAAATTGATACCAGATATAAAAATTGCAAGCAGAGGTAAATGAAACTAGAATATATATTCTTACAGCAATGGGATCCCAAGAAACAAACTTCAAAAGGCGTATATTGGAGGGGTAGGTACGACCTTTGAGGAATATGAGATATGTCAAGATTTTATCTTGGGTCTTCTTCTTTTTTTGAGGGCCCTGAAACTAAAAGGAAGCCCACCATTTTAGGTCCCTCAAAAAGGGAGCGGCCCATGTGGGGTTTTGGGCAGTTGTGAAGCTATCATACAGGATGGGGCAGCAATCCGAATTTGGTTGTAGTCAAGCCGTACCTCTTTGCCAACAGCTATGCCTGAAACTGCCATCTAGCTGGAGTCTCCATGACCCTTCAAACATGGGGCCAGGACCGGTCTATATATTTTGGGTACTGACCCCAATCTTACTAGGTCCCTCATTGCGCTTTTGTGGGGGAGGGTTCCCCTACTAAAATAGACAGCAGAAAATAGGGTAACCTCTCTGCTGGAGGACCTAGTATAAAGGGAACAGCGCAACGAGGTGTTTGAGTTTTAGTTTTCACGAGCCTCGGTTTGCCACGCAGTCACGCAGTGGGAAAGCACGACTTCAAAGGATTGCGGACACATTTGCAGGTGGGGCGCTTATGTAGTAAAGGTAGAACAATTGTTTGGGTACACCCCCAGCAAATTTCAAAGGTACCTGGACCCTTCAAGTAGCCTTAATGGGTCATTGCCCTAAATTTATGGTTGGCGAAATCCCCTTTTTTAAGGGCAACTTGAGGAGCCAGGTAGGCCCATTTGTTCGGGGTTCCCTTAGCAAGGCGCTTTCGTTTTTGCGATGAATCCATGGAGTTTTCGCTTCGATGTGTCCACGGTCCAGGAGAGCAGGACCGCGCTGCACGTGGCCGGCAGCTTAGCCTTCGAGTCGAGATAAGAACCCCGAAGCCCGAAGCGCTTCGCACGAAGCAGCTCCGTCCCCAGAAGAAATCGAGTTGGTTCACACAGTTGTCTAAAGCGAATCGACCTTTTGACCTGGCTTCGCATGTTGGCCCATTTTCAGTCATGGCCCCAAAAGGTGATCACCTGTTATTTTCCGGGTCCGTTGGGCAAATGAGTTCTTGAGTTTCGTTGTGGGATATGTGTGGGGGATTATTTCCTCATGCTCACTTTGGGCAAGCTAAGAGCTTCAAGGTAAGCTTGGGAAGCTGGCCATAAGGAGGACAGGTTTGAACATGCGTGCCTGAGCGCTCACCTGGTCTTTTACCCGAAGCTGACCGATCCTCTTTGGGGCATTCCCCAAATCGAGCCCATCAGGGTTTCCGGGTGTGTATTGCCAATACCCTCCCCACGCGCACGACCCACACACACCAGCCTAGAGCCAAAAGGCATGGGGGGAAATGGACACGCTCAACTAGGTCCCCCAGTAGTGCCCTTTTACCTCTTTTTTTGGAGGAACCCCCCCTACTAAAATAGACAAGACCGAAAAAGGTTGGTAGCCTTATTCTAACCTCTCAAATCTGGAGGACCTAGTCAATGTCTGTCCCTTAACGAGACATGGCACCGGCTGAGGCCATGCTGCGAAAGCTGCCGGAAGACTTGTGCCTGCCGCTGCCTCAAGGTTGAGACAGGCTAGGTCCCCCAGCGATTGGTGCCAACTTTTCTGCCAACTTTTTTGGGGGAGGGTTCCCCTACTAAGATAGACAAAGCCGAAAAAAGTTGGCACCAACTTATTCTAACCTCTCTACTGGACTGGTAGGTGTGTGCTGTTGATGGTACTCTTTTGAGGGGGTGTTCAAAGAAAACCAATGGGAAAGCCATACTGGTTGCCCCCCCCCCCCCCCAAAAAAAAAAAAAGAAGAAGAAGACACACGCCCATTTTGGCTCGCGGCCAACTGGCCCAACTTTTGGCCTCCAGGAAGCAGGAAACCTGAGGGGGCAAAGAATATGTTTTTTTTCGTTCTCCTGGCTTACCTCTTAAAAACACCACTTGTCTCAACTTTTTGGGGGTCACATGGGCTATATGTCTGTAAAAGATGAACTTTTTCAGGGCTTGGAGTTTTAAGGGGTAAGGGTCCGTTCATGAGCAAAATTTACGAAGCGGCACCCGTTCTCCTGGTGAAGCGACGGCTCGCCGGGTGTTTCTCGGCCAATTGTTCGATCAGGGCGATCGCGAAGCACCGAGACTTCAACGAGGTGAATGCGGTGGATACGCCAGAGCCTTTAGTCGGCCAAGATTTGAAGATGTGGGTTTGGAACCTCAAAGACGGGCTTCGGTTTCCTTTTGGTTTCCCTTTAAACCCACCGAAAAGGGTACCTTCAAAAAAACATAGACCCGGGACCCACGTGGGCATAGAAAAAGCGGACCCAGGGGGATTGTTCTCAGATTTAGCTATGCATTTGATTCAGGTTGTTTTCAGAGGGTCCCCACTTAATTTCACATCCATCGCATAGTTTGTGACATGCAAAGGGCCATTGCGATGAGAGCAGCGGGAATCCGCAGGTTGCTGCCTCCTAGTGATTCCTAGTGCCACTCATGAAAGCAACAAAGAGATGTGGGTGTGTCTTCATTGAGGGTCCCCTTCGCTTGTGGTGTTAAAGGGAAACCAAAAGGAAGATCGTTTTGAGGGTCCCCTTAAACACACCCATGTGAGGTTCACTTAAGTTTACGGGTTGTGGCCATTTGGAAGGGACATGGGGGACGAGCTCTAAGCAGAACAAAGAAACTGGGGGACTCGCTCGCTCGCTCGCTCGCTCGCTCGCTCGCTTTGCCTGTCTCTGTCATTCGCCCATGTTGCGGGCGGTTCGCCTGACATGGGCGTCTTGCACTTCTTCAGCGTGGCTCATGTTACCGTTCAACCAGAACAGGATCAGTGATTTTCCTTTAACGCCTCTCTCTGCAAAGAGTGAATTGATTCGTGCCTTGGTGGCTTCTTTTATTTCGTTCGTTCCTACGCACCGAAAAGGGTTCCCTCAAGTTTAGGTTGGAAATATGGGAAGGTTCTCCTTGAAACGCGGCACGATCCCTGAATTGGTCGAGTTTGGGATGCGGAATCCACCAATTTTTGGACAACTTCACTGAACTTCACTGTTGTTGGCATGTTTTTGGTGTTTACAGGTTTTGGTTCTGTTCGCTTTTAGTAGGGGGCTGCAGAAAGCAGTCCGTTTTTTTGCTACCATACCAAGGGTTGTAAGGAGGCCATACGGACAACATCCGGCTGGCTTTCCCATCAGGTTTGGATACACGCTGCTCATCCTTGCGGCGTCCAAGGGCATGTCGCAGGCCATCACATGGGCAGCGAGCGAGCGAGCCGCGCGAAGTTGTTGAGCTGGTTTTTCAGCTTCCCTGCAATTGGTCTAGGTCCCCCGGTAGTGCCCTTTCTCACCCCTTTTTTGGGGGAGGGTTCCCCTACTAAAATTGACCAAGCCGAAAAAAAAGGTACCCTTATTCTTAGGTCCTCTCTACTGGAGGACCTAGTGGTGGTTTGGAGCCGAATCGGTGGTGTGGTTTGGTTTCCAGACAGTACCAGGAACCCGTTCAAATCCCCAGTTCCCAATCGGGCTCCAAGCCACCAACCTCACGGGCCACGTGAGTTCCCTGGATGTCAACCCCGCGGAAAATGGTCCAAACCAGCACCCCCCGGACGTCAGGTGGGAGGGCACATGAATTTGGAAAGGGCCACTTTCATAATTTCCAGAGTTGATTATGACTCGTTTAAGGCCTTCTCGGTTTCCTGCCATGCCTTTCCGGGCGCAACACCACAACTTATGTTGCAACCAAGAATCGAGTCTTATTTGCCCAGACACCCTACTTTCCTGCACAAACAAGACCTTAGGGTTTTGTTTTGGGAAACTAGGGGGGTGGTGGAGGGCGTGTTTGGGATCCTATGATTGGTGTGTGTCTGTGTGTGTGTGTGTGTGTGTGTCTGACGTTTTGTTCTGGCCCTGTGGCACAGGAGCCAGATTCTTGGACCCCAGCTTGATTGATAGAGCGCGCGTGCCCTTTTGTGGAGGGGCGTCGGATCACTTTCGGAGGACACATCCCTCTAATACGAAAATACTATGTAAGGATAATCAAGTCGGGGTTATTATCAGCGGAAGGGGCCTTGGCAATTTGGCGGTTTGTGGCTGACTTACACCTCCACTTGGAGATGTCGTTTTTCCCATCTGAGTCCTGGCATCGCAGCCTCAACAAAAGCCCTGGGGATGTGAACGAGTTCCTGGATCTTTCAATTTCCCCCTCTGCAGACGATGTGGGATTTCGACCCAAGATCTCCAGTTCTAGCAAGCCATGTTTCCTTTTGCGAATGGACCACTTTTGTTCCCCCCAAAGCACAAATCGAAACAAAAGGCTATTCCCGACGGGAAATAACTACAACGGCGGACAAGCAACAAGAAGACAACAACTCAAGTTGAGATTCCGGAAAACGGCATGGATCCCCCTGCCTGGAGTCTCCATGACCCTTTAAACCTGGGGTCCCCATTTTAAAGGGTCAGAAGGGACCCCAGGCGGAAAGAACAGAGGACACTCGCGATGTAACATGAAGGGGCCCCCTCGCCCCCCAAGGAGTTTGGGCACCGCTGGCCAGGTGTGTCATGCCATCCTGGACCGTGATGACTTCGTAGGCGCGATCGGCGGGTTCGGTTCGGGGGGGTCGGTCGCTCGTTGACGCGAATCCACCAATTTCGACCTGGTTGAGCGTGGTGGGTTCTGTGTTGGGCAGGAGGGTACCCCCAGGAGAAGTGAGCAACACTTGAAAGCCGCTGGAGGTAGTCTTAAAAGGAGCCCTTTGGTTTCGTGCACTTATTTGGTGAACTACCTGGATGTTCGGCCAAGTTACTATGTGGTTGCACACTTTGTAACACACCGACAACTTACCTCTTAAAAACACAACTTTTCAACTTTTGGGGGGTAGCATGGGCTATATGTCTGTAAAAGATTAACTTTTTCAGGGCTTGGAGTTTTAAGGGGTAAGACAACAGGGTTAAATCCACTTAGGGTGCAACACACAAGTGGATTGTAACCTAGGTCCGTGACAACTTACAAGCATAGGTGTCCTTCTTGGTTGTTCTGCTGGAAAAAAAATAGCTGGCCTGGTTTACCTGGTGGTTTAATCATCTACCAGGTCCATCTATTTCCCCTAAAAGGATGCCTATGCTTACAAACCTGGCCAAACACACAAACTTGTCACAAACTGTTGACCGCTTCGCCTTAGTCAGGGCCCCTGCCGGCTTAGCTCAACCCCAAGCACCGGTTTCTTTGCCCACGCCAGAGCCCTTCAGCTGGCTGTCTTCCGGTTGAGTTTTCCCGAAGAAACCATCCACAAGGGTTTTCCCTTTTACAGAAACACCTTTACGTATGTGTCAAAGTCAGGGGGCCTTACAAGCTTTTGGATTATGTTAATTTGACAAGGGACGCCCACTTGTTTTCCACGTGGAGCGCCTATTTGGGTATGTGTTTTGCTCTAGGCGTGCCCCTCGCCCCCCTTTAAATTGAGTACCGAGCCTCAAACATCGCAGACCCATTTCGAGACACAGAGTACACGTTTTGGAGGGTGCCCTTTTTCTGATTGGTTGAAAGGGACAGCCGTAAACCATCCATTTTCCGGGTATCCGCCGAAAAGTGAAATAAGCCCAAACTGGTTTGGAGTGGTGGCATGGAGAACCCCAAAGAGGGCAAGGACACCACCCCCTACCACTAAATCACCAATCAGAACCACCAATCCAAACCATCAATCCGAACCACCGATTAGAGGGAGGCTGAAAAAAGGCAGACCAACACCGCGAATTGACTGGAGACTGAAAAAGGCCAGACCAAAAATTTGGGACCCTTGTTTTTTGTTTTTCTCCCACCACGCACCTGTTTTTTTTGTTCGACCTCCGTGTCACCGGTTGATTTTATCACAAAAAAGGGCTTGGTCGGTCAAAAACAAATCCGGAAACAAAACGGCGAAGAGCTGCCAGGCATCAACTCCCAGGACAAGTGGGGCGCCACTGCGCTGCACTGGGCTGCGGACCAGGACCTGGCGCAGGCGCGAGCCGAAACGAGCGAGCGGACAGCGGCCGGGTTCTGGGGTCCGGGTTCTGGGCTCTCCGGTTCCATTGCTAAAAAAAAACCTAGATAGGCACCCTCACATGACCCAAAGAACTAGTAGATTTCCGGAGCAAGAAACGTTTCTCCCCGCCTTCTGTTGGTCACAACTTGCCGTTAAAGGGCAAACCACCCCCTCCCAACCAAAAAGGTCGAAGATAGGAAGCACCCTTTGAGCTCGTTTGTTTGAGGCCGCCCCCAATAAAGACAAGGGAACCACCTTGCATGTTCTTCCAGAACTGGTCGCTCCTTCGGATACCCACGACTCCATTTCTATAATCCCCCCTTCCGACAAACAAAGCGAGTCGGGCCAACCCTGGGCTGTCGGATCGATCGGAAGTCGACCACTTGTGTTGGTTGGAAATCCAACCGATCTAAACCAACCAAACAGATCCAAAAAGATCCTACCTGGATCGCCAGTTGCTGCTATTTTTCCTCTATGAACCAGCAACAGCGACTGAAAAAAAAAGCGATCGCGGCTCCCATTGGGTCATGTGAGGGCCCATTGTTTGCTTGGCTCCATGCGTCTTGTTTCATCCCATTGTTCTTTCTCAAGCGGTCCGCTGCTCCGACCCCATTTTGGAGTATCTATTTGGAACCTAGCCTTTACTGGCTTCCATTTGCTTTCTTTTTGCGAGCACATCTATTTCGCAAAAAGAACACTCATGCTAGGGGGGTGTGGCCCCTTCGGGAGATGTTTTTGGACGGAAGACCTCCGAGTAACAGGACAGGTTGCTTCACAATTCCCGGGCTCAGGCGGGGAATCCATCACTACTTGGGTGTTCGGCCAAGTTAGTAAGTGATTGGCAACCTGGGTCATGACCCGCTTATAAGTCCCCGTCAAGTGGGGGTTATCCTTGTTATTAGGGGGTTATACCCTCAATTGGCGAACCACTGGCTCACCCGGCGAATCGAACCTGCAAGTGGACAGATGTCCTCCGTTTCCAGGGGACCTCTTCGCAACTGCCGTTGGCCCTCCAGGGATGTGTGCTAGGTCCCCCAGCTAGGTGCACTTCTCTACCCCTTTTTTGGGGGAGGGTCCCTAAAATAGACTACAGCAAAAAAGGAACGGTACCCTTATTCTATCTTCTCCAGTAGAGGCTAGACAAGGACAACCTGGAGTCTCCATGACCCTTTAAAATTGGGGTTTATGATTTTATTATTTAGGGTAATGACCAACCATGTTTGAAGGGTCAGAAGGAGACTCTATGATTTCAGAAATCCACTGGTGCGAAGCGGATTGTGTCCATCCACACTACCCCCCACGAGGTCTGTGTGTGTGTGTGTGTTTTTCCGCCAGGTCTGCGAGAAGATCCTGACGCACCCCGAGTTCGTGGAGGGCAACCGACGCGCTCGGAGCCCCGGAGGCCTCGGAGGCGTGGCCTCGGTGGGCCGAAGGAGCAACTGAGCGGGTGATGCATCGTGTAGCTGCCGGTTTCGTCGCACCAAAGGCCCTTTCGAACTGTTTGGCTTAAATTGGGTTTCCTGAAAAAAACAAAAACGCAAACCTGACACGCAAAGAAGTACAACTTTGGCAGAAGTCAGAAACTCAGTTTGCTCCTCCCAGCCCTTTCAACACTTTTCAGGGGCCGTCGCCTCACTCGCTCGGAAGCAAAACCTCGAGCGCAAGCCTTCAAGGCCGGCGCGGCGGTCTCTTGCGCGGCGGTTTTAGGTCGGTCCAAGACCCGTTGCCGGGTCTTGGGAAGGAGCCGTTGATGGGATTCCCTTGAAAGTCATAAGTTGGATGGTTTTCTCTCGGGGTCAGACTCCATTTCGAACATTCGATCGCATCCCTCGCAGCAATCGCCACATTTTGAGGCCTGGAGCTTCGCCTTTGAGGACAAAACGGCCCTGGACGTGGCCCTGCACCGAAACTGCAAGGCGCAAGCGCGAGCCAAGCGAGACGCAAGCGAGACGCGAGACGCGAGCGAGCGAAGTTCCGGTGCTTTCTGTTGCCCTTGGGGCAAGGGGGGCAGTGTGGGTGGGAGGCAATTGGACCGGAAAGGATGATGTGAGCTTTGAGGCATTCCGCTCTTTGGGATGGCATTCTTAGCGGGCCCCTAAAGGTGATTACCTTTTTGTTGGCCACGACTGAGGGCAACTCTGGGAGTTGGATTTGTCCTCTTTTTGAGGGTCCCGCCATAGCAACTAAGTGCACCTGGAAGATCCAATTCCTCTTGAAGGGACTCCCTGTCAGCTGCCATGTGAAGAGAGGATAAACCCAAAGGTTGCCTTTTGTTCAAGCGGTCATTTGGTAGGGGTATTGTTGTAAGCTTATTTAGATGACCACCTAAGCAGGTGGTTATTGGATGGTCTTTCGCCAGGGTTGGGGAACTGGATGCCAAATGGCCAAAGATCTCGTCATTTTGCTCCGAAGGAAATCGGTGAAAAGATAGGTTTGATTGCATGCGATATATGGTTTGTGAGGCTACCAGTTTTACCTTGGTCTAAAGGGAGGGCACAAGGAAGACCACCTTTTCGGGGGCAGCTCTATGTTGAGACACCCCATATCCAATCAAATGTTTTGGGGTGTTTCCACATGCATTGGATCAATCCGCTTGCATCCGCGCTGGGTTCGTGCGACAGGCTGCTGCTGAGATTATCCGCAGGCATGTGGGCCCCCCGCGCTAGCGCAGCGCAACAAGCTCTGCTCGCTGGTTGGCTTCCAATGATGTGGGGTACTCAACACAACACTCCCTTTTGATTTGGGTGAAATAGGGAAACCGAAACGAGGCCGTTAAGCAAACATGTGGAAACCTGTCGTTTTGGGTTTGGCCTTTGAACTCGGAAATGAGGAATTGCATGTGCGCAGGCCCCTGTTGGAAGACTATTTGGAGCTTTTGAAATGCTTTCCCCAGTGCACTTGTGAGGTCAAGCTTATGACCTTTTTGGTTTTCCCATTTTGAAAGGTGAGCAAGTATTCGTATTTCATGTTCCGCGAATTCGAGGACAGTCCAGCATTGAAGCCAACCAGTGTGAGGTAGATGGCTGCGCGACGAAAAGTGATTGGTCCTGTGTGGTTGCTTCGTGTTGGGCAGAAGCACATGAAGGAACCGTTCTGGGATCCTTCTGGGGTAGATTTAGTTGAAGGCATCGAACTTGGGGCTGTCTTTTTAATCATGGTACTGTTGGAGAACCATAGGAACAACTTGTTCTGTTTGTTTGTTTGTTTACATATATATATATATATACACATCTTTATATTTAGGGGGGCGTCCCTGTTTTGAGACACCCATTGCCTGAAGTTGGCCCGTGTCACTCCCCAGCCTCGGCTTTTGAGGCTGGCATGCGTTCTTCACGTTCCGCTGTCAAGCTCAGCCATGCGTGTCCTGGGCTCAAGATGGTCAGAAAAGACATGACACATTGGCAGGCCAACCTGATGGCCCAAAACCATATACAGAAGGGACCCCATCCAGATTGGTTCATGCCGGTTTACTTCGGTGTTTGTGTTGGGCTTATGTCGGTGCGGGTGCTACATAATCCACGTTAGAAGATTAGTTCCTCCAAGCAAACCAACAGAGGGTGGATACTTGTCATTGTTTCCAGGCTCCCTATAGTTAACGCTTTGTGATGAGATTTTCAGGTTGGTTCTTTCCCAACAAATCAAGGGGGTTTCGGGCCCTTGCAAGCTAGTTCAAGTACCCCACTGCGAGCTCAGCCCGAAGCAAACCGACCAAAACTCAACACAGAACCACATGAAGTGCCCGAACCCCGAGAGTACCTTTGGGTGGACACATTTGCTTCTTTGGGTCCTTTGGGTGATGTGCGGATTTCCGCGATGATTTCGCTATGGATGAGCCCTACGCGCTCTACGTGCTGGGACTCAGGGAAGGTTGCAGCGGCGCAGAGGTACCTTCACTGCTCCAAGGGACATGTTTCTTCGGACCAAGCCGGTCAGTGGGAAGGGAGACATTGTTGACTAGGAAAGTCATAAACAACAACAAGGTCCCCAGTAGTGCCCTTTCTCACCCTTTTTTGGGGGAGGAACTTCCCCTACTAAAATAGACAAAACAGAAAAAGTTAGTACCAACTTATTCTAAGCTCTCTACTACTGGAGGAAAAAGGGTACCAACTTATTCTAACCTCTCAAGTCTGGAGGGCTTGACTTGCTCTGAGCAATCTACGCAGGCCGTGGGGTTTCTGCTTTCTTTTTTCCTGCGGCAGCCCTTCCGGAGGTACGGCGCGCCTATCGGCGCCTGGCCTTGCTGTACCATCCCGCGCCTCCGGCGAGTGTGAGCGCCGGGCCCCCGCGCTTTCGGGGACCGCCCGAGAGCAAGATGGGTTTTGGGGGTCCCAAAACCCAGGTCTCACTTCCCACGTCTTTTGTGCTGGTTTTTTGGGGTGGTCCCCTTTCAGGCTACTAGTTAGAGGGTCGAGTTCGGCTTCGCAGCTGAAGGACACGTTTTGGGGGCTTGGTTGGACCATTTTACCGGCAAATGAACAGTTGTCGGTTCCTTTTTGAATCGGCCCATCCACTCAGGAAGTGGTCAAGGCAACGTGCTAACGTGGGACCCCTCTTCAAAGCCACACAGCATTTGTAGAGGTGGTGGGAATAACTGTTGGGGGAGGGCTTTTGGCGGGAGCGTTTGTTGTTGTTGTTGTTTTTTTCTTTTTCGGGGGCACGGCTGGCGCAAGCCGAAGAACTCACCAGCTTCCACTTCCAGCCTCAGCTGGAAATCCATGAGCCATGACTTGCCAAACGAGTTCTATCGTGGTCCATGCCCCAAACATTTCGGACCCATCTGGGTCAGCCAAGGTTGGGTCTTTGGGGGTCTTAGGCATCTTGGAGGGTGGGGCAGGTCAGTCAAGCCTTAGTTGCTGGTTTGGATTGGTGGTTTGGGGATGCGCCCTTTTCGGGAAAATCCAGAAGCCAGACGGTTTTTGCGGGCCGAGGACAAGAACCCGCAGGCGGGGGAGGAGTGCAAGCGGCGCTTCCGGGACATCACCTCGGCCAAGGACTTCCTGGAGGCCGGCGAGCTGCGAGTCCGCGAGGAGAGAGGCGACAAAGGAGCCGATTTTGGGGCGGGCCTGGGGGGAGGGTGGTTGGGGCGGTTCCCGGATTTCGGGGGGGGGGGGGAGTGGGAGTTGATGTTTGCGCGCAGGTTCTAAAAGAAGAGGTAAACAACTAAAACAGCTACTCAGATTCTCGGGGGGGGGGGGGGGCGGGATGGTGGTTGTGTTCTAAAAGAAGAGTAAAGAATTGCTCAGATTTCGGGCGGGGTGCAGATGTTTGCCTGGTACCCAGCCGGCCCAGCAACTCAACCCAACCCCACCCACCCACCCTGGAAGGGGAGGGGGGGTGAACTCTGCGTTTCTCCCAGTCGAGGGTCAGAGGGTGCCTCTAATCAGGTAACCCCTTGCTGATTTCGATCGGCTTCGTCAGTTTCGAAGCCTTACACGGGGAAGGCACTCGACGTCGCCATTGAACCCAACCACCAATTAGCAGGGCGTCCGAGCCATTTCCCTTTTTGGAACCTCCCAAAGTGGCGATCGTTTCAAGGGAAAGCGCCAGTAAACTGGTCAACTCCTTATTTGGGGACATCCAGCTCGACCCCTGCATTCGGGGTAAGATGCCCCCTACTCAACATACCCGTTTTTTTCAGTGTTATTTTGGGTAGGCCTGGTTTTCCACGGTAAACACCTCCTTTTTTAGTAGAGGGTCGACATGATACCCTGAAAAAAGGCCGGGTATTTGGAGTAGGTGAAAGGATCAGAACCTTCCTGGGGCTCGCACTCCGCGCATCGCGAGGAGGGGCCAAGCCCCGAAGCTCGCCCTTCGCGCCGCCGCCGCAGGCCGGCGGTTTTTCGCGGGCGGAACAATGGGTTCATTGCTTCGCCGTTTTTTCATCCACCAGGGGTTTATGAATGCGGGGTTGGCATTAAGTGGTTAGTCCACAGGCATTTTCCAGTGGCATTGCCGAAGTCCAAAGGTTGTCTCACCTCCGTCTGGAAATCATCGAGTACCTTGTCTTCACTGTTCTTGGCATGTTTTTTGGTTTTTCAGTTTTTTGGTTCTGTTCATTTTTACGGGTCTGCAAAAAACAGTCAGTTTTTCGCAAGACCATACCAAGAGTAAGAGATGTTGTGGAATCGCAGCACTTGCCTTCGGCTCATTCCCTGAGGTCCGAAAAACGGACTTCGCGACTGTCTTGACTGCTGGGCAACGGATCTTTAGACTAAACACTTTTTGGTTGAAGTCAAGTTGGGTTTTCCACTAAACCCCAAACAAGTTAAACTTTTTGCGGGGGATAGCAACCAGGCTTTGTGGGAACATGTTGGATTTGTTTTTGCCCACCCAGGAGGGTTTGCATGACTAGACCCTTTCAAACACTCACCTGCACAAAGCGGCTAAGCGACCCGACCGGATCTGACCTTTTGGTTTTCCCGGTTTGGTCCATAGCCAGCAACCCCCAGCCGCTTTTTCAATCATGCCCAAAATCCGACATGCTGTCCCAAAAATCAACAGCAGTGGTTGGGACTCGGGTGCTGGAGAAGATGTTTCTTACCCAAGTATGTCTTTTGACACCCCTGAAGCGCTGTAGGCCCGACGGGACACTTAGGCTGAGCTGTTCAAAGGTAATTCCTTGCGTAGAACTGGGCCCCCTTTGTAGTGGCTTCCCATCTTTGGGATGGAGAATCAGATTGGCCAAGCCTCCATTTTGACTTGCTGGTGCGACAGGCAGGGAATGAGACATGGAATGACCTCTATAAACCATTCGTTGTGGTTTGCTTACCTCTTTAAAAAAATACTTTTTGGGGGTAACATGGGCTATATGTCTGTAAAAGATTAACTTTTTCAGGGCTTGGAGTTTTAAGGGGTAAGTTTGTTTCCCTTAGGTTCAATTCCTTCTTCCTCCATATCGCACCAGCAAGGAACAAGCGACTGGAGCCTTGCCCCCTCTCACCCCTTGAGTTGAAGCCCTCTAGCCCCCACTAGCGTGCCCTTTCTCACCCTTCTTTGGGGGAGGGTTCCCCTACTAAAAGAGACAAAGCCGAAAAAAGTGGGTACCAACTTATTCTAACCTCTCAAATCTGGAGGACCTAGGTTTGGTGGTTGAACCGGGTGTGTGCTGAAATGTGGGAACCTCCGACCTCTTTCCTGTTTGTTTCCTTTAAAGCCACCCCAAGTGCCCATTTATTCCAGAAGGCTTCAGCTACCGGAGGCTTGGGCTGGGAGATTCGATTCTGACCTCTCAAATCTGGAGAACCTAGCCCATTTATTGTTTGTTCCAAAAAACTTCAGCAAAACTTCAGCAACCCAAGGCTTCTGGGAGATTCGATTCGCAGGCGCCTCCCAAGCCGAGCTTCGGCCCAAGCGGCCTGGACACCGCGCGCCGGCGCCGGAGGGCGCGCTGGTGTAAGCCGGAGAGGGCGCCCTTGGCAGCGGCTCAAAATTAAAGAGCTAGGGCAAACCGCAGGTTTTGGTCCATGTGTCCGCTTACCAGGGTTCCATTTTGGAATTCCGGTGTTTTGAGCCATATCCGGATGACTCCAGCCCCGACCGACTCCGGCACGGCCCGGGAAGGTGTTTGGGTATCCTCCATTTGCTTAAGGAGATGTTGAAAATTTCCCTTAGGAGTCAGCTTCTTCAAGCGAAACCAGACTGGTGTGGGGTACATGCTTGGATCAAAATAGTAGTTTGACACTAACATGGTCACCAAAAATGTGACTAAAGTCCATTGGAAGTGGGAACTCTTGAGTGCCTTCCGCTTAAAACCTGGTAAGGGGAGTTTACCTTCCATTTGGTGAAGGCCTCAGGAGAAAATATGTCCAGTAGTGATGAATTCCTTTTAAAACCTCCTCTGATCCCTACTTAAACGGCTGTTGTAGTACCCTACTCATTTCTGGTCATGTACCCCTGGGAATGCTAAGTTTTGTGCGTTTCCCAAAAAGTCAAACTTCTGTTTCCCAGGGATTTGAAGGAGACATATACAGAACCGGTCCACATCCAGCAAGAGGATTCGCCAATTCTCCGGAAAATCATGTGCAACCAGGGCAGGCCGGCCGAGCCTGAGTTCCAGCGGGTGGGGGCCGGTCTCTACCCTGCGTTTCGGGATTTGTCGCACCGTTTTCTGCGCAACGCGTTTTGGACAACCTCCCTTATGCAGGGGGTGAGCCCAATCATTGTGGAAGCAACAATCCCGCACTTCTGCTGTTTCGTCGGATCGATCACGACGGTGCCCTTCAGGTGTTGTCAATCCTCCATGAGTGGCAGTTTTATTGAATTCTTACGGACAGGGTGCAAGTCTTGCAGAGCAGTTGGTTTAGTTGTTATTTTTGAATGGTGATCCACCCGTACGGTGGATGCCCCTGTCATAATATATTGCAAGTAAATGAACACCATGGGAAATTGCAGGACACTACTTGCAAAATGGCAGGGGCATCCACTTTGTTTTTAGGTGTCAGTTTTCGAAACCTGGCAACATGGAGACCAAATGGCTCCAAGCAGGCTGGGTCATCAAGCCTTGGGAAACGACAAACTTGTGTTTTCCAACTAGTCCCTTCCCCCTGATAATTAACGCCAACCCCCCCCCCTTCCCACCGGCTACAAATAAATGCTCTTTGGGGGGCAAAACGTACTTATTAATAGGGTCCTTTTGGGGTCGACCGGAGTTCCTCTTCGGTCCGCGTCCACATTGCCTTCCTCCCTCCTTCCCGGACACGAAAACCTCAAAACCGAAAAGTTTTCCGGGGACTGAATTTAAACAAAACCGTTCAATGTTTTGTTTTCTCGGTTTTGCGGTTCAACAGTAAAGGGCGCAATTGAAACTTAGAATTACAATTCAAGAAATACAGGTAAATGAGTAAAGGTAATAATGCATTTTGAATTTGGTATCACGTTGATGCCAGGAGCCGCAATAACGCTGGGGCTGGCCTGGGCAGAGACATCGGACAGTTTAGTCTTGGTTTTGAATTGGGCTATTCTAAAAGTAGTATTGGGGACACGGCTATTTCAGTCAGTCTGGAAAACCTAGTATGTATTAATAGGGTCCATTTGTTAACAGGGGGAAGGGATTAACATGCAACCTGATAGGGGGTCCTGGAAGACCATTTTCCTTTTCAGGGGACCCTGGCAGGATTTATGTTGATTAGTGAAAGGGTAGTAGCAACTTACCTGCTTGCCCTTGCGACACACCCAACTCAGGTGATCCCTGTGAAGACGGAGGCGCCGCGGCTAGTGGTCTGGGCCTGCCACGTTTGCGAGATGGCGAACCTGGGGGGATACTCTCCGGGGGCGCGGAAGGACGGGTGGGCCGGGTATTTCACGGAGAGCCGTTAGGGGAGTTCTGTGGTTGGTGGGACTTTATTGGGATTTGAAGGGATGGTGTCCCTATGTCTTGCTTTGAAGCCAGTTGACTCAACATGTGTAGGAGTCGGGTGACGTTCCTTGTGATACTTTTCGGGAATACAGTTAAAGCGCAAGCAGAAACGAGAAACTAGGAGGTCAAAAGGTCGATTCGCCTAAAGGGCCTAGTGAGAGAAGCGCTGAGCCCGGAATTGGTGGGGAACCCGCCAAAAACAACTCCGGGCTCCCAATATTACCCTGAAACATCACCCAAGGGAAAAGGAAAGCGACAAGAAGCATTCCAAAACGTGCTCAGCTTGTCATAAAAAAGGAACCACAAGGGACCCCTGAAGAGTCTTGGCAGGGAGAGATCTGCTCGCGATCTGCTCGGCCCAAAAAGTCCAAGCAACTTCGGAGGAGTGAATCTGACCCTGGCCACCTTAAAGGGGAACCCAAAGCCCCCCCCCCCCTCCAAAGCACGGAGTCCCAGACTTCCCTCTCTCTGCCCCGGTTTTTGCAGGCCGTAAGGCCTTATTGGGTGCATCAGGGGAATAGTTTAGAGACACAGGGGAGGGAGGTTAGGGAAAACAAACACTAATAAGGACGAACCCTGGACTCAATTTCTGAGTGGGATAGTTCAGACCATCATTTTTCCGGGTCGACTGATAGCAACTGAGGGGCGTCCCCCTTTTTAGAGGCTACCCATGTTGTTGCTTGTTTAAAAGGAACACCAGAAGAAAAACAGGTTTGTTTTTGCAGGGGGGCCCTAGAGAAACATACTGTGGGTGGACGAAATTCTGCACCACCTAACAAACCCTGGAATAATGATCCCCTGTAAATACCAATGAGCCATGGTTCCCGTTCATCGCAAATTGGTGCAGGATTCCGCCCATTAGGCAGCCGTTCAGGACTGTCTGAGGCCCTGCATCCAGCCGTCCCCGCAGACCCCGTGCTTTTGCGGGCATGTGCTGGCGGACCACCGGCCTGAGTCGAAGCTGGGCCTGAAAAAACGCGCCAGGCGACAGGGAAAGATGTGTTTTGCCCGGGGGCAGATGGGAAGCCCCTCCTTAACCACCAAACCACCGGGCTCCAAAACCACCAATTGGAAGGAAGCTGAGGTTCCCTTATTGGTGGTTTGGTGCCTCACCGCCCAGTCCACTTAGTAACTTGGGTGGGGATTCCACATCCGAAGCTTTCAAACTCTGTATGGAGCCCTAAAAGCTTCCATTTGCTGAAGACTATGTATATATACATCTATAGATATGGTTTGATTCCCCTGATGGTGTTAAAGCGAATTTCTCACTGTTGGACATACTCTGATTTTCTCCCGGGGCTCAAGCAAATGGAAGAAAGGCAGACCGTAGAAGACTACTTTCAAAGGGGGTTCCATGTTGAAGCCTGTGCTTTCTCAGGACTGTAGGGCACCCCCAAAAGGAAGACTTAAACCACTCCCTAGAGTCCAAAGGAAAGGGGCCATGTTCTCATCTCGGGGTCATGGAGACTGGAGTTTGCTTGTAAAGGGCTTCTAGTTGGAAGCATCCCCACCCGAAAAATGGAATTGGGGGAGGAGGGTGACACCTGGAAATCCGTTTCTGGCAACCCATTTTAGCCCTTTTATTTGGGAAGACTCGATCAATGGAACTGGGGGCCCCCCAGCTTTCTCCCCCCCAGCAGATGTTTCCCGAAGTCTTGGTGCCCAGGAAGTCGGATCCCTCGGAGGATGGCTGGGAGAGGTGTCGCAAAGGCTGCGATTGCGTGCCTCGGCAGCCTCGGCATCTTTTCGGTTTCGCGTGCCAGACGAAGGCTCCTCACTCCCAACGAGTTCCTGGACTTTAAAAACTGTTTGAACTTAAGTTTGGACCATTTGCGAGGGACATAAACAGTTTGGACTTTTGTTGGACCATCAACTCAGGAAGTGAACTATCTGGCTTTGGGACCCTTGGGACAAATGGTCCTAGTCACCCAAAAAGGGTTCCAATGTATTTCTTACCAGAGTCACCGGGATATTCCTTATTTCTCATCAAGCGTTGGAACTCTTTGATTGACAGACCTTGGGATAAAGCAAAACAAGTTTAAACAAACAACATTTGTCCTTGCCACAAGAAGAAGGTTTTCCCAGCCGAAACGTGTTTGTTTTCTCAGGAGCTGGCAAACCCAACGCGACCAGGAAGCTTGGGAAGACTATGGTGCAAAAGTTGGTGAACGTATATGGAAAAAGTCCCCCAGGTTGCGTGTTTAATCATCTTCCTCTACTACAGCGTTCCCTCTATTTCCCTTTTTTTGCAACCGCCAACAGTGGCAGTTTCAATGAAACCCACCAGTAAATTACAACTTTAGAAGGGAAATCCAGTGAGCCCTTTCTAACTTAACCAGCCTCTTTAAAACCAACCATAACGAATGGGAGCTATTCTCAAGTAACTGAAAGTGATTGTTACCTGACAGTAATCGCCCCCCTCCCCCCCCCCTTCCCCTGCAAAAAAAACAAAGACGCCAAAGACCAAAGGGATTCCTCCAGTTGTCGTTGGTTTCCTGTGACCTTCGAATCGAAGGCGCGTTTCAGCTATGTGCGCCCTGGATCCCTGTGCTCCTGCGGCCACGGCAGTCTGGAGCACAGCGCCAAAGGCAGGGTGGCAGGGCTGGGTGCTTCCCAAATAGCACATGAAAGGCTTGCTGGGTCGGAACCAAGTTCCTGGACTCTGGGCACTTTTTGGGCTTGGACCATTTTGGTGGTAAAAGAAAGTTGAGGCTTTTTCTTTCTTTCTTTTTTGCCAGTCCACTCAGGAGGTGAGACCAGCCGGTTGGGTCCTTAGGTTTTTAGATGTTTTTAGTTGGTCCAGTGGTTGGGTTTCCATTTAACCCACTAACAAGAGGAGGGGATTTGAGGACAGCGCATTAGTGATTTTCAAGTCGATTTTGTGGTTTTGTCAAAAAAGGGCTTTTGTGCATTATGGCCCGTTAAATAACTAGACTATGCACCCTTCAAAAGAGAAACTGGGTGCTAAATGGCCCATGATTTTCAACTTGCCCAAAGAGAAGCCAAAGTGGAACGGGTAGCTTGCTATTTGTCCAGACCCCGTATTTAACTCCCACAACCCCTTGAAGCATGTTTGAGCAACGTGCAAGTTTTAAGGGGGAATGACCCAAGACCCTTTGATTCCCTAGAAGCAACTGGCCCAACCAACCCCTCTAACAAACCTAGAAGGCTCATAATTTTGTTTGGACCCCCCTCAGCAGTGGTTGGTGGACATGTCCTCAGAGGGTTCCCAGTCAACAATTCCACGACGCCATAAACTTGCATTTCCTCAAAAGAAGCACTGTGTTGTGTTCCTTGGTTGTAAAGGGAACCTATCACTATCGGACATATGTTTTCCACTTGAATGGAAGCAAATTCAAGCCAATGTGGATGGTTCAACCACAGCTCCAGGGGTCCTTACCTCTTGGATGGTTTACTACTATAGTGGCGAAATCCCTTGAAGCACTAGGATACCTAAATGCGGATGGTTCAGCAGCGGTTGATGTACAACACAATTTGCGTAGCTCCTAAGGCAGTATGCCTTTTATAAGTGGTATAACCTCCATACCTGCACCACCCTACACCTGAAATATTCTTTGCAGTTTGAGGGCTGTGCCCGCTAGCTGCGTGAAGCAACACAAACTATCATGCAACCTCAAAAGCCCTGTGACTTGTTGTGTTTGGACCATTGAGAGGTAAGCAAACAGTTTGGACTTGTTTTGGCCGACCTTCTCTGGGAGTGAGTTCTGTGGATGGACAAACAGGTTTTACTTTCTTTTTGTTCCAATCCACTCCATGAGAATGATGGAAAATGGAAAACCCTAGAATTTTCCATTTATGGTATGGAGGACTCAGATACAGGTTGGGCCCCGGTTTCTTTGAGCTGCCCGCCGGGCGGGTCCCGGGGTAGCTCCCAAGAACCCACTTCCAATTGCTGAAATGAATGTGTTTTACTTTCCCCAGTTGGTTCCAAAGTTAGAATTTGTCACTACCTGGTCCATGACCCTCTAAAAATAGGTCCATGGTATTGACCAACCATTTTTAAAGGGTCAGAAGGAGACTCCAGGTACTGGACAACTTTTTCTCATCTTGTCCAGGGGGCCTGAGAAACGCAAATGGAAGCCGACTGCCGACTGCAGCAGCCGAGGCTTCTTCGCCTGCGAGGTCTCCGAGTGCACTTGTCAGACCTTCCACGACGTCGGCACTTGCGACGCCGCTTCCCTCAAAGAGTCGCCCCCAAAGTTCCCCCCACGGGCGCAGGGGTCCGACCACAATGGCTGCGGTTGAAGCCTTGCGGCTCCCCTTCAAAACCCAAAAACGTGTATAAAAACAGAGGGCTCAGCTGGGCGTGTCTGTTTGTTGAGGCTTTAAAACCCCTTTTTGGGGTTGCCACTTTGGGGTTCCCTGATTTGAAGACACGCTCTTGTGGGAAACTTGGGTTGCACCCGCAGCACTTACTTTCTTCGGGGACAATTCCGTTGTCCCAGAAAGTCAACACCAGAGAGGGTCCCATCCCCCTTTCGTACCATGGTAGTTCCTCCTCTATTTTGCCTCATGGTTTGGGTGTTTTGTCTTTTGGACGGCAGAGAAAACTGGCTCCGACCACCTTGTTGAGTAAAGGGTTGACATGATACTTTCAGAACAGGTAGGGGACGTTGCTGTTGCTGGTTCTGTTCATATGTTTTTAAGTAGGGGCTGCCAAAATCAGTCCGTCTTTTGCCAAGTTATACCAAGGGTTGGACTGTGCACTGGGGGGACATGACACTCTAGAAGAGTGCCTGGACCCTCAAAGTTCCCTTAAATGTTGGCTATCACCCCAACAAACATGGGGTGACTTCCGTATTTCGAGTGTACCTTGACCAGGTCCCCCAGTAGTGCCCTTTTGCATTTTTTGGGGAGGGTTCCCCTACTAAAATAGACAAAACCGAAAAAGGTGGGTACCAACTTATTCTAACCTCTCTACTGGAGGACTTAGTTGAGGGTGGGGGGACATGACACTCTAGAAAGAGTACCTGGACCCTCAAATTGTCCCTTAAATTTTGGATAATTTTGGTTATCACCCCAACACACATGGGGTGAATTCCTTTTCTTTTCTTTTCCGAGGGCACCCTGAGGGTCCAGGTCTTTGGCGGGGGGTCGTCTGCCCTCGTCTTTTGCCCGGGAGGTCTGTTCCCACGACTGGGTCAGCCATCGTACAGAGCTGCGCTTCTCAGTTCCCCCGCCCTCGCGCCGGGATGCCTCGGAAAGCCCGGAATCCAGCAGCTGGGCCAAGCAAGCGCCGGATTTGGTGGGGCGTGCTTTGCGTTTTTGTTGCTTCTTTTTTATGTGTTGGTTGTTGTTTCGCCTTGAGTTGAATCATCTAATTTGTGGGACTTGCCATTCCTGAACTTGTCCACCTTTGTTTTCAAGGAATGCAAGGAATGCAAGACATGGCTTGGGCCGCGCGAGGTTCTTCCGAGATGATCTTCCTCAAGCGCCCGAACTCCGCCCGTGCCGAGAAGCCCGGCGCGGGCGGCGCGGGCGGCGTGGGCGCTCCCGCCCTCGCACGGGAGGGTGCGCGAGAGAAGCGGCCCCTGGGTGATCAGAGTGAGCGCCCACTCAGCGCCCGCAACGGCGTGGGCGCGCGGATCTACGGCGCACTCAGCGGCCCGGGCTTTGAGATTAAAAAAAAAAAAACAGATTGGGTTGATTTAGGCTGGACAACGTAGGGCGGAGAGATGTTGTATTTAGGTGGAGGCATTGGATTCTTATTTAGGGGAGATGTGTTAGTCAGGTAACCCTCAGTTGGTGGCTTGGATTGGTGGTTTGCGGAATTGAACCCACGGTTTAAAGGGTAAATGGGAAACCACCCCCTACCTTCGAAACCACCAAACCAAGCCACAAATTAGGGCCTTAGGAAGCTGCGTTAGATTGGACAAAGTACTGTGGATGGACGAAATCCCGCACCACTTTGAAGCCTGTTCGTTGGTATTTAGAGGAGAATCGTCATTCCAGGGCCCAGGGTTCTCAGGCGCAGGATTTCGTCCATCCACAGTATGTTCAGCGCAGGGTTGTGGGATCAAGGGGTTTCTCCCCACTTCTGTGATACAAGGGAATCCCCCTTTATATGAAGAAAACAGTCTTTGGGAAGCCCTTTTTGTGTTGTATCACAGAAGTGGATTCCATTCCCCACAGCCCTGTTCGAGCGGGTTGTTTGGGGCTTGGCTTAGGCGGCCGCATGCCGGGCGTGGCCGCCATGCTGCCCGCCCCCCAGCGCCCGGAGTCGGCGGCCAGAGATGTCGCCCGCCGCCCGGAGACGGCGCGGATGCGGATGCGGCCACATTCCCAGGCTTCAGCAAGCTTTTCCGCACTGGTGGATCATCTTGTTACAAACAAATACATAAATAAACACTTTTCTTCTGAAAACACATGTTTTTTAGTGTATTTTCAGAGGGCTGAACAAAACACAAACAGTTGCTTGCTACTACAGATTCGATGTGTTGAGGTTTTTGGGTCTGTTCATTTTTATGGGGTGGAACAAAAAGCAGACAGCTTCTTTTGCTACCATACCAAGGGTTGGAAAGTTTAGTCTTCTGGGAATACTCACTTGCCTAAAGCGAATCGACCGGATCTGACCTTTTGGTTTTCCCTTCTTGGTCCATTTGAGTCATGACCCAAAAGGTGAACCTTTCTATCTGGGTCCTTTAGGCAACTGAGGATTTCTTGGGTTGTTTGTTCACTTTTCTTTGGACCGAAAGTGTCACCACCGCACTCGGTCTGCCTTATGAATGTTTGGTCAGAAGTTGGCATTTAACCAACACAAAATGTTTGCTTACTTCTTGAGTTCATGGACTTTAGTCGCTTCTTGCGGTTGGGACCATTTTAGTGACAAGCAAACTGTTTATACTTTTTTGGCCAATCCACTCAGGAAGTGAGTTTAGCTTAATAATAGTGAAACCAGAAGAAGTGGAGCTAAGATACAGGCACCAACATTCTAAGATACCAAGATTTAGTTTTGTTTGCCAGGCATCCCACCTCTCATTCCCTAAGGGTCCCTCTTGCATCCCCCCTGTCTTGACTACTTGGCGGGCTACCTGGAGCAGCAGTTCACAGGGAGGGAGGGAGGGAGGGAGGGTTTAAACATAGGCACCGCTGAAAAGCGGGTAGCGCTGAAAAGCGCACCATTTTTTTCTGGGCACATGGTAAAGATGACCAAGCAGGCCTGGCCAGAGAGGGAGGATGGTCATGGGGCACTTTAGCCTGCACCAAGACTGCAATATTCAATGGCCTAGTGGTCAATATATATCCCTGCTTTGCTTCAGAACTGTAACAACTGCAAAGCACTATGCATAGAGGGCACAGCCATTGAGAAAATGCATGTGGGGCTACGTGTGCTGACCATGACCCTAAGTTTCATGCCCTGTTGCACACCCGTGCACCAAACCACACTGCAGCCACAATGTGTTTGCACACAGACGCTTGCAGCCAAAGAAGTTGCCATTTGACTGTTTGGGGCAGCTGGGCACTAAGGCTCAAGCCCTGCACTGAGGTTCACTAAGGCCCCAGCAGAGCGGAGCCTGCTGCAAGCTAAGGTGCAGACACTAAGGCCCAGGCATCTAAGGCCCTCACTTCAGGGTTACACAGGCCTGGCAGGCAAAGAGGCAATGTTGCCACTCACTAGGGCGCAGTCACATTGTGGGGTTGTAAGCCTGCCAAGGCATGGACTCCATGCCTTGGATTTTCCTATCACTGTAGGGGTTGGGAACAAGTAAGACAAAGGCCAGAGGCTTAAAGGATGTTCAAGGCAAGTTTTCGCAGTTCACCCCAGCCCTTGTCAGACACTAGGGAGGGCCCCACTGACTTTTGAAGGTGTTGACCGATTGGAGGCTGGGGTTCTGCCAGCCAATGTTGCACTTTCGCCAGGACAACTGTTCAGCTTTGATGCTCCTTGATGGGATTGTCAAATTTGAACACCAATTACACACTAAACATTAATGCCAGAAACCTTGAAGACATCATGCAAGGGGGAGGGCAAACCTTCAATCAACCAAGTGGCGCAAAACATCTAATTTCCAAACAGCTCCATTGGGCAGGAAATTCGTTCAGCACCAGACCAATAAATGCTCCAGTCCCCCTCCCTGCCCCCCAGCTGCAAGCCATGCGCGTCAGCCCCAAAGCCCCAAGTGCATGTGCTGCATCGGTTGACCCTGATGAGTGCTGCCCGCAGGTGGGCTCTTCAATTGCAACGCAAGGAGAAGCCCATTGATAACACAGCGCAAACAGACATGTACACAGTGACCTTGAGCCTAAACAGGCGCAACTGAGCTGCTCAGCAAAGGCCACGCACGGCACATGCAACCACACATGGGTAACACACACACACACAAACACCCACCGCTTCACAAGCTTTTTTCCAGAACGGCGCCAGGTAGCCAAGTTCAAGCTAGCCTGCAGGCCTGTAGGCCTGCAATGCTGGCTTCACTTCTTAGACATCTCAGGCTTCTTGGCATTTGATGGCTGGCTCTTGGAAGAAGAGCTCTGCTCCTGCTTCTCCTGCAAGTCCATGATCTGAAAGTGCAAGTCTGCATTCTCAATGCAGAGGGCGTCCTTTTCCTGCGGTCAAGTCAGGGGTAGCAACTGCCAGGCCCATGGTCATGCTTGGTCAACCCTGCCTGGTTGCACTTGTCATAGACCCGCTTCCACATCCCCTGGTGCTTCTCCAGAACAACGTCCCTGCCCTTCTTGATCTTCTCAGTCTCTTGCTGAGCCTTGGCACGGAGGCACGTTTCCTCCATCAGATCATTCGCAACGTGCTTGAGTGCAGAGTTCAGCTCCTTCACATCATTCTTCAAGATGCCAATTTTCTTGTTGGAGGTTGCAGCCTCCTCTGTGGCCACCTTGACAGCCTTCTTGAGTGTTCTGACACCTTGCCGCTTCTCATACGAAAGCCCTCTCTGTTGGGGCATTGCCTGCAAGCTGTCTGGACTGCAAGCCTGCTGGCCTGCATGTGCTGTGCTGTGAGCCAAAAACTCATGGCAGTTCACATTGGGCATGCAAAGGTGCCCACCCACGGCAGGCACATCATTCCACTGGCTGGCCATTCGTTCAACATTATCATTTCGGTATGCGCACACAATTACCCAGTACAGTAGCAGGCTCAACAAGACAACAATTTGTTTTCCTCTCAAACTGACATCCTCACAGCCGACCAGCAGATTGGCTTCCCCAAAGCACCTGGGCATGGCTGAGCGCAGAAGACACAACTTTTCAAGGATACCCAAAGGCTAGACACAACTGGCAGACAGCCCACAGACACCACAGCTTCAAGAATCCAGGGGTTGTCTCTTTGTGGCAAAAATATAATGAATCGAGCTTCACAATGTTAAACAGTCACCCCCTCAAAATAGCAGTGTGTCACACATTACAGTGGCACGCAAGTCCGGCCCCTCACCTGGTGCGCCCATGGTGGGTGTCTACTTCAAAGCATGGCAGCTGTCATTAAAGGCATCCTGGAACTGCTTTTTGGGTTGTTACTCTCTTTGGTTTTGCCTGACCAGCATCATTGCATTCACAATTTTGGATGGGCCATTTCTCCAAGTGCAGGCAGTGCTGAGCCACTCCAAGGCCAACACACATGCCTTCACTTTGGGGAAAGAACTTCAAAAGAACGAGTGCGGGCATTTTCCCCTGGCAAGCCTTGGATTTTGGGTGGACCATGCCATGGATGCCCCATGCCATGGATGCCATGGCATGGACAGGGCTGTTGGGATTTTGGGCACCTTCCAAACCCTGAAAAATTGGCGCACACACACACAAAGCCCAGGGTTATGGACATGAAAGCAGCCACTGAGGCCATGGCAATCTGGAGACATCACCTGGCAGACATGGGATGGCAAGACCCGAAAGGAGAAGTGCCTTTTCAATATGAAAAGAATCTCGTCTCTCTTTTTCTGGCATGCTCAGCAAAAATATCGCATGGCTATCAAAAGAAGTAGGCAGCAAACTGCGACGCAGTAGTGGAGACATGCGATGTCCCAGGACAAGTTCCTCACCAAAAGCCTGGTCTCATGCAACTCCTCTTGGTTGGCCTCAAGTGCGCCTCATGGGTCCAAGGCAGGTCTGAAGCTCTGCCTGCAGGTCTGCAAGCCTTCCAAGTGCGTCCTGCAGGTCTGCAAGCCTTCCAAGTGCCTCCTGAAGCTCAGGTGTGCAGGAGCTGTTCATGGCTCAAAGCAACAGGAAAAAGGGCCACCTAGCGCACTGTGTGCTTGAGCAGAGGGGGCTCAGGAGGCCTGATATGCCAACGCAGCACATGGCAAAGACCACCTGTGGCTAGCTGCGCAAGGTAAACATGCAAGGATGGCCACCCCACAGCCAAGGAGGGAACAGGGGCTTGATGTGGGAACCTAGGCTGCAAATGCAAGAAATCCCACGCGTGCAGCTCAAGTTGGTCTTGAGGACCATGAACTGCCAAAGAGCCCTAATGACACAGGGGTGGGGGCACAAAAGTGGCTAAGAGGCACCACCAGTGGTGTAAGAGTGCAGGAACTCTGAGGGCTGAGCTAGCAGAAGATGCCTGGGCACATGGGTTAAGACTAACTTACACGCTTGCGAAACCGGGTGTGCAAACGCATGGATTGGCCAGGCGCAAACTTGTCTCCCACAGGCTAGGGCAAAAGGTCAGCAACGGGGCCAAAACTGGACCACTCCTGTGTAGATGAGTTGGCCTGGAAAATGCTGCTTATTGGATGAGGCATGGGCTTTGCCTCATGGAAAAATCCCATGGTGTCAGGTGACTATCATCAATTTACCATTGCGAGCTCAAACCATCCCTCCCTGATCCCTGCCAGCCTGGCATCAGATCATCCTGCCAGCCTGCAAGCCTGCAAGCCAGTTCTTCTTCACTTGGCCACATCCTTGGCACACTCGGCATCACCCTCAGCCTCCAAAGCAGCGCCATCTTCCAAGTTGGTGGCCACAGCTCCCTGCTCTTCAATCCATGCGCGAAAGACAATCAAGCAGTTCCCGCAACAGCAGTGATTGGGGTGCTGGTCTTGCTGCCAGTAGGTGTCATCTACATCAGAAAAGTCGCCCAGCTGGAGGGTTTGGGTGCGCTGCCTCTTCCCCTGCCTGGCAAAGTAAGATGGTGCAGCAGCATCTGCTCTTGGAATGTCTTTGGCTGCCACAGAGAGCTCAGTGCTTGAAGGCTGGCTCTGGGCTGACTGAAGGATCTCAGCAGCCTCCTCCAGAGCTTCATGCAGCGTCTCCATGCGACGCACCCTTGCCATGGCAACGGAGTGCCTGCAGGCTACTCTACAAGTGCAAGCTGCAAGGTGGTG